TTTATTTATTTATTTATTTATTTATTTATTTATTTATTTATTTATTTATTTATTTATTTATTTATTTATTTATTTATTTATTTATTTATTTATTTATTTATTTATTTATTTATTTATTTATTTATTTATTTATTTATTGATTTATTGATTTATTTATTTATTTATTTATTTATTTATTTATTTATTTATTTATTTATTTATTTATTTATTTATTTATTTATTTATTATTTATTTATTTATTTATTTATTTATTTATTTATTTATTTATTTATTTATTTATTTATTTATTTATTTATTTATTTAAATTATTTTTATATACCTTAAAATCTTTAACTTTTTTAAGAAATTTAAAGGCTATATTTATAAAAAAGTTATAATTTAATTATTAAAATATAAATAATATTTTTTTATTATTTAAAAATTTAAGTTTAATTCTTAATAACTTTATATAATATAATATTTAAGTTTCTTTTTAATAATTTATTAAATAATTCTTTTTTTAAAGTTATTATTAGGAATTGTACACTTAAAGCCATAGGGAATAGAATTGCTTAATAAACCAGTCTGGATAGGCTGGCGCAACCTTTTAATGCACTATTCCTAATAAATAGTAGCTATAACTAGTTGTCTTAGCTAATAGCTTAGCTTATAGCTATTTATACCAAGGTTGCAAGTTTAATCCCCGCTATGCCCAGGCCTTAAGCGTGTTAGCATTGCTAATGGGAAAATATAAACGATAGCCCATGAATAGGGTATAGCAGCACTAAACTAGCGATATCTAAGAAGCCTTATAATAGCTTACGTGGATATAAGTTACTTTATCTATAATGCCCTAATTATTAGGAATTATGTACTTAAAGCCATAAGGAATAGAATTACTTAATAAACCAGTTTAAATAGGCTGGTGCAACCTTTTAATGCACTATTCTTAATAGTTATTAAGCTTTTATTTCTTTTATTTCTTATATTTCTTATATATAAAATTTCTTATATATATATATAATTATAAATTTAAAAATAATTAAACTTAACTTTTAAGTTAAGTTATAAATTTATAAAGCATTAAGCTTAATATTTATTAATAAGTTTAATATTTTATAATATTAATAATAAGTTAATTATATTATTTATATTAAAAACTTATAATAAAAGTCTTTAAGCATTTTACTTAATAATATATTAAATAAGCATTTACTTTCTTATTAATATATAATTCTTTATAAAAGTATTATTAATTTATTTTATAATATTATATAATTTTAATTACTTTTAATGGTTTTATATAATTTTTTAAGGCTTTTAAATTATTTAAATAATTAAAAAGATTTTAATTTATTTAATAAAGGATATATAATATAATATTAATTTTTATTATAATAAATATTATAATAAATATTTAAGTATATAATTTAAAATAAAGTTAATATAAAAAATTAAGATATAATTAATATTATAAAAAAGCTATTTTATATAAATTTTAATAACTTTTAATTATATTATATTTATAATAATTACTTTAAATTAATTAAATTAATTAAAAATAAGAAATTTAATATAATTAATATTAATTAATATTAATTAATATTAACTTTTATTAAATCTTTTATATTAAATAAGTATTAAAATTAATAAAATTTTATAAACCTTATTAAAAAAAACTACTTCTTAATAAAAACTATTTATTAATAAATTACGTTATTTTATATTTATTTATCTTTTTATTAAAAAGGGGGCTTTTATATAATAATTAAATAAGGTTAATATATAAAGATAAATAAGATAATTAATCCCGCCTTAATATAATAATTATATATAACTTATATAAGTATTATTCTTTTAAGGAATTATATTTAAACTTTAAGATTAATTTTAAATTCTTTCTTTATTTAAAATATCCTTAAGCTTAATACTTTTTACTTAAGAAATTTTAATTTTTAATCAAAAAATATTTAACTTAATATATATAAAGATACTTTTTAATTTTTTATTTTCATTATAAATATAAATAAATTAATTAATATAAAAAAAACGCCTTAGCATTTTTAAATTTAATATTTATAATTTAAGTTTAAATTAATTTAATAAATAAATAAATTTAAAAACTTTTAAAAGCTTTAACTTTTATTTTTATATTTATTACTTAGTTAAATTTTAAAGCTTAATATAAAATTATTAATAACTTTAAAAATATATAAATAATTAATTAAAATAAAGTAATATTAAAGAGATAAAAATAAAAATATATAAATAATAAAGTATTTATAAAAGTAAGTAAAGGTAATTAAAAAAATGAAATAAAAATTTAAAGTTTATGTTAAATCCTAACGATTTTTTACTTTCTTTATTAAATAAAAAGTTTTAAAAAAGTATATTATTAAGTATAAGGATTTCCTACGCGGCGAAAACAGCACTTAGTACTTTTATGGACACGCTTCAGGGCATACTTTAAAGATTTAAACCTCCAAACGTTGGTCACGTTAACAGTGGGACTAAGTAAACCACTCTTTAAAGGCTTAGTAGTTTATGTTAAGTATAAGGATAATTAAGAAATAATTAAAGCTTTAATAATTTAAAAGGCTATAAAAAGCTCCTTATATTTATTTAAATAAATTTAAAATTACTTAATTATTTTTTCTTATACTTAAATTAAGGTTTCTTTTTAATTTCTTTTATATTAATGCCTTTTCCTTATTCTTAATAAATCAATAAAATAATTGCTTTTTATTTTATTTAAGAGTTTGCTTATCTTTAATAAGAAAGGAAAAGATATTTTATTATACTTAAAATTAAAATATAAAGAATAATATTAAAAAGTATATTATTAACATTATAACTTTAATTAAGGTAATTATAAATTATAAGTATAAGTATTTTATATAAGATAATGCTTTAATATATTAAGTAATAATTATATAAAAATAATTAAAATAATTGCTTATTTAATTAATTAAATACTTATTATATAGCCTTAATTTTAACCTTATTAAAAACATTTAAGTATAAATAAAGAATTAGCTTAATATTACTTATAACTTATAATTTTTTAAGGAAAAGCATTGTAAAATATTATAATAATAGCTTAAAAAGCTTATTTTAAGGAAGTATTTAAAAATATTTATGCTAACTTCCTTAATTAATGCTAAATGTATTTAAATATTAACAAAGGGTTGATTAATTATTAATAAAGTTATAAGGACCTTTAAAATGGCTAGATAAATAATATAAATATAAGGTTCTCTCTACATAACCCACAAACAGGTGGATCAGGGCCCACTGGAATGCCGAACTAACAAGATTAAAGCCGGTCGAGTGTAGAAAGCTTGCGTGCTCCGAGTGCTCCGAGTGCTCCACCGATGTCTGGATCGGGCTGCGTCCTCGCGTACTTGTCAAAAGATGGTTTGGCGAGCAAAAACACGGCGATTTCCAGCAGATGCGAGTCCGGGGTCGGGGAATTCGCAGTGCCTAGGTACGCGAAAGTGGGCGAAGAGGGTCTAAGGGGTGTGTGCTTTGCTAGGCCACACACGGGCTCGACTAGATGAGCACGTTCTGTTGTTATGGGGAAGGGAATACGCGGAAGAGCGTGGGACCTGAACCGCGTCACACCATGACAGAAGTGGCTGCAGAAATCCAGATCCAATTCAAAGGTGAGTGAATACATGGACAAGAAATCCGGAAAAACATCCAGAACCCAAGTATCCAGGTGGTTTGCGCAGGCTGCAACAAAAGCTTGAATCACCCTTCGAGCCTCTCCATCAATTCTCGTATGATCAGCAACGATGTATAATAGTAGGAAGCTGATATTACTCTGTCGGGCCCGACAACTCGGCCCGGTCACATTCAGACATGATGCCCATTGGGTAGACCCACTCGCCCACTGCGTTACGATGTGCCGGGGTTGCCATTCTGGTGTTGGCAGAACCCTGGCCTTGGTGCACGGTGAATGAACCGAAATTAGTGAATGGATATCGAATGAGCAGATTCAACACTGTCGCTACTATGAGGCCGTATCATTACAGTACAGACATGGCCAAAAATACGATGGGCTGGTACGTATTTGATGACTTGACCACATGTCTGGGCCTTGTCTCACAGGGCCAAGCTGATAGACCGGGGGCAGTGCATACGGTGATTTTACGCCTGATTTTGACAGGCTGACAGGTGCGCACGAAGCCCAATGCGAGCAAGCGGCTCCGCGCCTAGCATCAATATCCTATTGACAATCTCCCCGTGCTTCCGAGTCTGTACGATGGGTATGTTTCCACGGTGCCGCGCACCCCCAGAATAGTACGTGTCCTACCTGACAGCAAATCCCAATCCACTCCTTTCCCGCCCAGGAGAAGAGGCACTGGCAGGCACTGGGCAGGGACTTCTGAAACGAGATAGCGACACGGCGTGGGAGGTGCAGCGCTAAAGTGGGCCTTGCATTGTCGCGAGATTGCTTCTTGGCCAATTATTCTGGCCCCCCCCTTTGTCCACACGCGCTCGCTGGGCTAGAGCCTCAAACTTGACCCTGCACACAATGAACTGGCGTCTCGGGCCAGGCCTCAATTGACTGGCAACCACGATCTCACCTTCAGACGCGGCTCGCATTTGCCAAGTTGACGTGTGGCCGCTTTGTGCGCCAACCGACTTCAGCGCGGCAACAAACAACAGAAGCGCCGCCACAAGGCATCGTCTGTCTATTGTCTCTCTTTTAGCTTCCGCGCGTGGAGGGAGATATTTAGAAGTTTGAGCGGCTCTCCTCGCGCACCATCTTAGATTTTCGTGCCTTCAGTGTCAATTGGCATTTCTACGACGAGTTCCCTTTTGTTTAGTCCTATCTTCGTACTCATATTCTTGTACGCATTCACGCGCGACTCTCAGTCACCCACGGTTTTCAGTCGACAGACTCCAACAGGGCTGCCCACGTCCCACATCTTCATCTATATATATCCTGCGACTTCAGATAATATCAGCTGCGGGCCAGCATATCAGATTCACCACCACAACTACAAATCATCATGGCCATCGCTAAGCTCCTCCCCGTCCTCCTGAAGAACAAGGACACCCTCCTCGAAGACGGCCTCGACCCCCGAGCGCACGCCCAGCGGGGCGCCAACACGGGCATCAGCTACGGCAAGAAGGCCGCCTCGGCCCCGCTCAGGGCCTGGGAGAACATCCCGCGCCTCGTCGTCCGCGGCCTGCAGTTCGTCCTGGGGCTCGTCATCGTCGGGCTCTACGGCCACCGCGTCGACAAGCAGCACCGCGCCGAGGGCACGTCGCCCTCGCCCGAGTGGGTGTTCGGCCTGGTCGTCGCGGGGCTCTCGTGCGTCACCGCCGTCGCCTTCGCCGTCGCCGCGCCGTTCGGCGCCGTGTCGAACCGCTTCAAGACCGCGCGCCTGTTCTCGTGGGACCTGACGCTTTTCCTGCTGTGGATCGTCGTCTTTGGCATATTTGCTGGCATCTTCCTCCACCGGGACAACGATGACTCGTACAAGGGGAGCAGCACCGCCGTCGAGAAGGGCGCCGTCTGGGTGGACCTCGTCAATGCCATCCTCTGGCTGGTCTCTGGGGTTTACGGGTTCGTCAAGACCTTCATGAGTGGCAAGGTTGACACACTCGGGGAGAAGGTCACTGGCAAGGTGTTTGGGAAGAAGCAGCCTCCGCCAAACAAGATAGAGATGTACGAGACGGTCTAATAGCGCATGACCAACATAGACGCCTCACTTAGATTGGGCTGTAATAATATTTTGGGCAACTCGCTCATAAAGTGTAATAATCCATTACTTTTCTATCTTCAATCCCTTGATACTACTTGTAGAATCCCCAGAACGCACTTTGACTGGAAGTGATTGGACGCTTGCCTCACAAACTGTTGGCCGCCGCCCTTGGCAGTTAAGCCACACAGTAAGTCAATGACTGATCCTGAAGTTATTTCAAAGGAAAGATCCCAGTCTGCCCCAACATCGAGGCGCCTGCCTGGAAATATGCAAAGGGGATGCTTCAAACTTGAGGCGCAAGTTGCAGTCCTTGCAAATGGGAGTTCCTGACCGGAAACGTACGGACCGATGGACCAGGAATATTCTCCCAGCAGAGTGATAATGACTTCAATGACGCTAAACAATAATCTCGACGGAAATCATCTCTAGACTAATTGCAACGCTGTAACAAAGAGCACTATTGAAAGCACAACTCCAAGGCCGGAGGCAGATGCAGTCGGAGATGCCAGACTGTCTGCACTCCCCACCACATTCTCAGTTCCGACCCAGGCGTTGAAATTCTGCATGCCCGTCTCACTGCATCCTCCTATGCTCATCCCTTGGATCTGGGCGATGACGGTATCGTCACGAGTTAACGAAACTACCACGGGGGACGGTTCGTCCGCGTCTGGTAGAGTCGGAACTGCATAGGAACCATGATAGACCCCGGGGCCCCCGTCGGCGGGCGACCGAGCTGCGTCCCATGTTGCTTGCACGTCAACCTCGCCAAGCTTGACGGTGATGTTGGCAGGGGATGCGAGCGCGGCATCGTAGTAGATTTTGATACCGCCTAGCAAATCGACGGAATACTCTGTCTGACTGTGGCTGACAGTGTTCAAGGTGGTGTTTTCTGTGCTGCAGTTCGAGCCTCTTTCGGGAGCTGTAAAGGGGTGATGCATGTTAGAATCTAGATCTGGCGTCGGGGGTATGGAGAGGCCTCAGTTGTACTTACTGTAGTATGCTGTGATACTCTCCTGAGTCACATCGCTTGTGCCATTCTTGTACATTGAGATAAATGTAGGAAGGACATTGCGCCAACCCTCGTGAGGCATGGTAGACACATAATCATAGAGTGCTCCCGTTTCCATGGCAGGAGAGCTATGCAAAGGCCCAATGTAGTGAGACTGGTATGAAGTCAGTAACCTTTCTGTGCACATTAGGAGTCATGCTTCTCTTTTGCAAATACGTACCTCGCCGAAGTCATTCCAGCTGATGATCTGAACAAAGGCTGGCTGGACGCTTATAACTTGGGCCCAACGATCTACCCAAAGATTGTCTGCACTAATCGAGCATGACAGTCAGTAAACGTTTTTTTGACTTCCTTTTAGGTGGATCTACCACCTGGGCAGGTGACACTTACTTCCAGACCCAGTTCTTGTTGTATCCTGGAAGGTTGGTATAGAACCACGGCGAGACCGCCATCATGTACTTTGATTTGTCGACCACTCCAAGGTACGTCTCGTCCACACTGCCGTCCATCGGCCTGACACCACTCGGCCACGCGTCCCAGCTAAAGAGACCATCGGCGACATTGTCGGCAGCATCCCACGCTTTTTGTGCGCCAAGGGAAGACCAATCTGGGATCAAGAAACAGTCTGTCTCTGCTTTGATGTCTATCCAATCCGTTGCGTTGGAACCGCCTTCGAAGGTAGACACCAACGGTTGTGAGTTCTCTGTGTAGTAGGCGCCATTTGTTTGATAATTCGTCATCAGCGCGAGGACGTCGTCTTTGGGCCAAGGTCCGTTGCCGTCGTAGTCGAAGGAGAAGAACAGCTTGAATCCAACGGAGTTGGCGACCTCAAAGGCCAGCGGGATCTGTCTTTCGTTCGAAGTTCCATTCCAAGCAATGTTCAGAACGAAAGCATCTATCAGCGCTTCTCGGGCCAAAGAGTACTCTCTTTCCCAGTCTGATGAGGTGAAGAGAGCTGTGTTGTCAACCTGTTGGCTCTTATTAGTACCGGTAAGCCTAGGTTTTGTCCTTGCATGAGACAAGACCACGGACTGTCCCAGTGGATGAGGAAGGGCTTACCAGAAAATGTGCAAACACAGCCTTTGAGAGAACATGCAATGGGCATAGCAATCCCACAAGTATAGTGGAACACCTCATTCTGGCTGAAGAACAAGAGAGAACTTGAAGGAAAGGGGGTATCACCAAAACACAGACGGCTATCGCAAGCACCGAGGGAGGACATCTTTCAGAGTCACAATGGAGCCAAGGCCTAATCTTATACTGGTTTACCCGCGAGGAGGCGCTTCGCCTCTGGCGACTGCCTGAACACATGCTGCATGCGCCGTATGAGTGATTCTTTTCGAGCTTGCCCGTATTCCGACTACCTGGCCCACCAAACCGGATGCGTTGGCCCATGGCTGCATGTTCCGGCCCTTCTAGCCGGGTGACATCGTACCCATGTTTTCGCCAGGGCACTGCACATGCGCGTGTGAGGCGCTCTCGCTTAGATATGCAAGGCCCGATCTGGTCCCATTGTGCGAACAACGGGAGACTCCATCTCGCTTCCAGCAGTGAAGGTTGCGTGCCTATCGCGCCCGACGTCTTGGCCGTTACGAGCGAGCGGTGGGCTGCGAGAGCACGCGCCGGCCACACAGCACTCAGTTCCACCTGTATACGGAAATATATGGACCACGCTGCCTAAAAGTCAGTTGATTACTAAATTAGCGTCTCGAGTTTCATGCAGGGCAGCCAGCCCCCAGTGATCCTTCGCGATGATGCTATCGCTAGCTTCGATAAGAGCCGTGTGGCTATGCGCCCTTGACCCGATTCAGCAGTTCCCTTCGACGATAACGGGCAAGTCCCGACAGCTTCAAAGTATTGGCATTGAGAAAATTTTCAGCGGAGATGTGTTGAAAACGCAGGCAGCTGTGCAGCAAGAGCTTTGGGACTATCTTGCAACAGAAATAATACCATGTGGAGAGTGATTGTTTACATATGTGTCGTTAACTTCCCCCCCCACTTCTCGTCATGGTCCCAGCAGTGCTTCATTTCACCCACACCTGTCATACAGTAATTCCAGCAGAGAGGGATAAAGCGGTTAGACTGGAAACTCGACGTAGGGATGCACCAATCAACCGGATAACAACCGAAATACGACATCTTCGCACACTAACTAGTAACCAACATCACAAGGCAAATTTACTCTCAGCCTGATAGCTACGACGGGGGGGGGGGGAGTCATGCATGGGCAGTATCCGAGAGGACTTGGCTGAAATCCTTCAAGCGAACATTGTACTTCGGGTGGCAGTTGAGACTAGTCGTTTGATCGACCCTGCGCGCAATCGATTCACAAGCCACTGCTCTTGCCTTTATGATTGATCTCCTACGCTCTGTTCTCCGCCGCTTGATGGAATGTGTTGCGTAGTGGAATTGAAGAAAAAAAAGCCATAGTTTGCGTCAGTTCAAAACACTCGGCAACGAGGTCGATAGACTGAGACCTCGTGGTACTTTGAAGCCTTCGTCAGACAAAGTATTCAAATCTATGATGAGTTATTGAGTACATTCATGTGATTGATCGCACCAGTAAATGTATCTGTCTTTTCGTCCAAGACCACCCTAAATGGGCTGGTTCAGTAAGTTACCATGGTGGATCAGGTACTTAAGTACAGCACGTCTTCTCCTTTGTTTGGCATCAGCCAGCGTAGATTTAATATGTGCTGTTGATATTCCACGGAGTACTAGGAGCTATAGATCTTGATGCAACTATCAGATTAGTCACATTTGTGCCTACGTTGATGTTCTTAATCTACCTTGCGCGCACGACGGAAATGGCCAGTCAAGGCTGCAGAGGCGCAATCTAAGCCACTTTTTGAGCGAAACTGAGTAAATGTCCACAGGCTAGACCCTGATAACTAATTGGTGTGAGAATCTGGATCGGTAGGGACATCTTGATCCCGTTGCAGCTTAATAGCTTATGCGTGCCGACTTTAAATGTTGTGCATGTGCGGGGTCAACATAGACGGAACACTCGAGACGGGAACGATTTGGCCACCGTAAGCTTCTTCCTGTTCACTCTCATTTTTCCAGTTCCGCCCGCATCAGAGACAGGTCGATGAAAAATGGCAGATATCAGCGAATGTGCAGCCAAGCTGGACTACCAGCCGGAGACACGCTACCCTGACAACCCGTTCTTCAAAGGGCCGGAAGCGCCATGTCGGTTTGAGGCCGAGATATACAATTGCATGGTTCGAGGAGAGATTCCTCCTCAGATTGATGGTACTTACTATCGGGTTATGCCTGACGCGTTGTGGGCGCCACTATATGATGACGACGTCTTCATCAATGGCGATGGAGCTGTCGATGCCGTGCGCATCAAAGACGGGCACGCGGACTTTAAGCAGAAGTTTGTTCGGACTGAGAAATTCACCATCGAACGCTCCGCAAGGAAGGCGGTCTACGGAAAGTATAGGAATCGGTATACTGACGACCCAAGAGTCCGGACGCGCTGCCATGCGACTGCCAACACACATGTGGTGTACTTTGAGAACCAATTACTAGCATTGAAAGAGGATTCACTGCCGTATGCGATGAATCCCGATACTCTAGAGACGAAGGGTAAGTCGATTCGCGAGTCTTAGTCGAGCATGGCTGATTTCTGCCAAGGTGCCTATAACTTCCATGGACAATACACATCCCCTACTTTCACGGCTCATCCCAAGGTCGATCCTCACACAGGCGAGATGATCACTATGGGCTACGAAGCAAAGGGAGATGCCACCAAAGATGTGGCATATTTCCTGTTCGACAAGAATGGTCGAAAACTTGAAGAGTGCTGGTTTCAGACCCCATTCGTAGGCATGATGCATGACATGGCTGCAACCGATAAATATGTCATCTTCATCCTGACGCCACTGACTACTGTGCCTCTCGAATTGTTGAAGGAGGGTCATAAACACTTCGCGTGGTCTGAGGACAAGCCCTTGACCTTCGGCGTCTTGCCGCGGCGGAATCCAAAGCCAGACGACATCAAGTGGTTCCATTACAGGAACGCATGTGAGTAGCTGCTGCAGGGCTTCAGTTGTCGCAGACAAAGAGCTCGTTTATAAGCGGGCTCTGCTTGCCCTTCCTACCATTTAACCACAAGCCTCCGTCAAACAGTTACGAGTCTTGGTTTAAGCAATGAGGATTCTTCATGTCCCTGTCATGATTCTGCTACAAGTTTCTAACCCGTGTCATAGTCTACGGGCATACCGGTAATGCATTCGACGGCGACGATGGCTGTGTCTACTTGGATGCTCCACTGACTTATCATAATAAGGTATGTTTAGAAATTCAGACTTGTAATTACACCATCGGCTCAGGAAAGTACATAATGACCGGAACGGCAGTTTTGGTTCTTCCCACCCGTTGGGCAGAACATGCACACAGCTGCAAGCGCGCAGCCACCCAAGGACAGCACAATCAGCCATTATGTACGATGGAAGTTCGACCTCAACTCTACCGACCCCCACGTCGAGCCAACGGAGTTGGTGAACCTGGATGGGGAGATGCCGAAGGTTGACGCACGCTACGAGACCAAGTCGTATAGTCAATTATTCCTGGCCATGCACGACCCGAATTCCCATGAGCCTGCCATCGGAGGGGCGTACAACTCTATTGCGAGATGCTCGATTGAGACCGGGAAGCATGAATACTGGTCAGCTGGAAGGTCTACGGCTCTACACGAAGTGGCCTTCGTCCCCAGGTCGCTCGATGGTAAGAATATCAATCATGTGAGATACGGTGAAAGAATGCCAGCTAATTGTGTTCCTGCGCGCGAGCAGCCCCCGAGGCTGACGGATACTTGATCTCGGTAGCAAACAGAAGGGACAAATTGCTCACCGAGATCGTCATCCTGGACACGGCGAAGATTGCTCAAGGTCCAATTGCCATTATTGAGCTCCCGTTCAGGCTCAGGGCTGGGATCCACGGCAGCTGGGTAATGGGTAGCGATCTGCCTCGAGAGCAGGATCTCTGTGATATGCATGGAATCAGCAAAGAGGTAAAGAAGGAATTCGGAAAGCAGGTCTCTGGAACCAATGGTCAAGGTCATCAAATTGTGAATGGTGGTACATGAACTTGGAAATGTGTCCCGAAGAGCGGAATTTGAAGTCATGACAGGCAGAATGAAGCCATGTTTCCCCTATAGCAAGAGAAACGATTCTTCGTGTAAATTGCTGGCTGACCTAGCTAGGTCTCAGGTTGGAAATGACAGAACCACTTGGCCGTCCCAAAAAGTCGCCCGCGTCCCAGTCCACCACTGTAGAAAATACACAGGTAAATGCCTTGTAGACTCAGATGATCCTTACACAGTGAGCAAAGTGTTCGCTCCATATCACGCATCAACCATTCCATCACGACAGGTCGACCTTGACTGCAGCCATGTTCTCGGAAGAGAAACCAGTGATATAGAGCCAGGCCTTCTTCTTTCCACCCTCCTTCTTGGGATCGATCCCAACCAGAAGCGTGGCAGCAGCATTCTTGACGATGCTACCGTCATCTTCCCAAAGCAACTTCTTGTCCCACTGCCCTGTGACGTTCTTACTAGGCGTAACATGCCAAGCCATCGCGCCCTCCTTCACCTTGAGATCGTGGCCGTATCGAGCAAGATCGATGGCCCTGCTCAAGCCTGGGAGCACAAAGCCGCTCACATCGTCGCCAGTACTGGCATACGGGTCCAAGTAGTAACTCGGATTGTCGGTGGTAGAATCGATATCGATAATCTCCGCGACATCGATGGTCTTCGCACCCGACGACCCCAGCTTGCCAACCCACATGTGGCCGTCAACAGCGCTGGTCACCAGGATCTCATCCGCGGTTCTCCCGTGCCCCATACCATTGGGGCTGTGGAGCTTGTCCAGCGCCACGCTGGCTTCCACTTTGCCGTCCTCGGACACGACTGCGTGGATCACGTTTGACCAATGAGCACCAGGCCACAGGTCCTCGAGTTGGCGCATATGGCCGTCATAGTAATAGTGGTCGTTGGTGACATACAGTTCTGTCTGGCTGACGGCGAAGATGTCGTTGGGCGTCTTGATGAGCGGGTGCGAGATGGTGCGGACGTGCTTGACCGAGCCCCCGCCGATGGTGTGGTGGAAGACCTCGATCCTGGAGGCAGCCTTGGGAGCTGTACCTGGGTCGGACTCCGGCGTGCTTCCATCCCGCGGGTACACAGCCTGGTTTGGAACATGATTGACGGCCAAGATGTAGACAGCTTCGCTCTCTGACTTCTCTGGGTCCGGTATAACGTCGATGCCATGGGTGACGAAAGGCCCGTCAAAATTCTCAAAGGTAAGCCTCTTGGACTCCCTGGTCTGCGGTTTGCATCAGCTGGTGTGCCCATCAACTCCCGCATTCAAACCCAGGCCTATGGTCGACTTACCTCTGGGTCGATGATGTGAATAGATCCCTTGCTGTTCCACGCCAGGTTCGCATCGCCGAAGGTGCCTAGAGGTGGAAACCACTGATAGCGTGTCGCGCTCACATCCTCGCATGCGGTGAATAGAGTATGAGCAGGGGCGTAATAATGGATATCCTCGCAGTGAGTAGTGTCTTTCAAGACAACAAGGTCGTCTGGGCTAGCCAGTGGTGTCGAGCTGAGGGACCTGAAGGCGCCGATCTTGGTGAGGACTCGGGAAGTAGGCGGCCCGTATAGAAAGGCTGCCAGACCAGTCAAGCCGGCCATCAATATTCCAGTGGTCGCCATGCTTGAATTTTTTATTTTTTTTTGCAAGGCTTTTTGCATCAATTGATATCTTGAGAGCCGGGAAGACTAGAGATGGGGGGTTCTGGTTGAAGGCGACGCGATATCACGTCCGGCCGGGTTGTCGAGTCCAGCTTTGATGAGGGGATAACTAACTTTCAAGTAGTTTTACTAATTAGACGTCACCGAACTAGGGCACATCAGTCCTTGGTTTGCCAAGTGGACCTCGGGTTCCGGGGCACCCAACCCGTCTCATGGAGTAGCCGTTGGTTACATTATGGGTCTCATGAACGATGCGGGGAACAAAGTCTCCCCAACCGAAAATCCCGGTAGGTGACGTCGGAATAGCTCTGGTAGTTGTCTGGACAATTGGACCTTTCTGCATGCCTAGGTAATTGAGTGAGACGGGTGACAATCGAACAATGTAAATGTTGTCGCAGTCCACACATTGTCTTCCGCTCACGATAAACAATGGAGCTCATGCCTCACACTTGAATAATGGCATAACCTGAGGAGCAATCGGATCCTTTGAAGAGGCAGTGGCTTCATCTGAATACGTGCTAATATTCCACTCAAAAACGACTCTCTCGATCCCTCGTGAAGTTGTGCGCATGTTGGCTCTTGCGGGAGGAAAGATGCCGACCAGGATAATGTTAGAACTGAAAGCGAAAGGCATTTGCGTGATCACAAGCAGACATGCGAAATAGATAAACATCGGTCTCATGCGAATCAACAAATATTTACCTTGGTTTGAAGAAGGTATGAAGCAATTGTCTCCTCGGCCCGGCAGCTCGAGACTTGCAAAGGAAGCTACCTAGGTGGACTTGTAAAGGAGGCTTTGCGGGTAAAATGAAAATTTGCAATCCCCAGATACCAGAAAGTATGCCCCAAGTGCATCACTCATGAGATTTTGCGCAAGTTTTCAAGCCATGTCCTGAGCCCACGTGCATCGAATCCACCAATTCCTGCCTTTGTGATAACTCCGAGTCGAGGCACACGTCTCCAAGAAAATAAGCAAGCTGCCAATAGCTTCCCAGTTCAAGAGTCCAAGAGAAAGTTCACAGTGGCACCGTTCTTCGTGCTCACCAATCGTGACGCTGCTACTTGAGATCCTCTCTCTGGATGTAGTAGCGCTGTTGCTTGAGCCGCGAACAAGTCTCTACCACACCCCAAGCCTTCCGACTCCGTTCGTTGCTCAGCACAGTCTCATCTCCCGGACGATCGCATTCGAAGACGCTTCGCTTTCGCTTTCTGGACTGTCCCATCTCGCTTGTCTCAGCTTCTATGTCGGCTTTCATCTCCTCCCATCGGACTCGGGTCACACAAGACGCCGGGATGTAGTCCTGGATCAGGTATTCGCTTTTGCAGTACGCCTTCTTGAGCACGTCAGTTAGTCCCAGCTTAGCTGCGGTCTGCATGACATGCCAGATCGTTGACTGACTCCGCCACTCGCTCTCGTCTGCCTTGATCACCAGAACCTCGATGCTTTGGAAACCTTCGCGCTCGTACCATGCCGCAACATTGGCAGCTTGAGCACAATCGGTGGTCGTGGACATGAAGGGGCTTGCGTCACGGCGCTTCCAGTTCAAGTGATGATGGAAGTGCAACATGAAGCTGAGTTGATCAGTCTTGATGTTGGTAAACCCACGCGACCGCAGACCGTTGCCGGGATGTTCCTCGTGGACCGCACGGTACAGCACCTGGGGTCGGCTCTTACCCACGCACGCGCGAATGGGAGTGGACAGAGAAATGAGTGGCTTTCCCTTCTTGAACCCCTCCATGGTGCTGCTGCCAGTCTCCAAACAGGGAGAAGAGAGGATGGGTGACTTCTGATGCTGCAGCTTTTTCATCTGCTCCGGTAGAAGTACGACCTTGAAAGAGTCGGCTCCCTTATCTCTCTCAGACTTATTAGTCGTGACGGCCCAACCGATCGAGGAAGGGTTCACGTTGATGGCCCATTCTTTCGGCGCAAACAATGCAACATTGAATGTGGCACCATCTCCCTTGGCCTCTCCATCCAGGCCAGCGGTTCTTTCCATCTTGAAATTGTGATGATGTCGACTTTTAAGCGGGCATGCAACTTCTTGATCAGATGGTTGGAAAGTTCTTGTGGGAAAGGAAGTGATTTCTCAAGATATCGGTTGGGAATGCAGTTTGCAGTTCGGCAGTTGTGAAGGTGACTTGAAGGCTTCAACAACGGCGATCGAGGGGTTTCGGCACGGTCTCAGACAGAAGTATTATTGAATCAGGGAAATCAAGTTCGGTGTCGAAGAAAGTGGATAATAATATGTTTGGGTTGGATGCCGCTCTCAAGAATGATTCTTGTGATATGAGTCGACGGGTCTTGAAAGCTGAATCTTGGTCTGGTCAGGATGTGAAGGCCATGCGTGTAACACCAGGCCAAATCACTTACCATTCGTGACTGCCCCAAAAGTTCTTGAGGTTCAGAAAGCATTCGGGGCCTCAGAGTGAGCCTGAATACTTCCAAGATTCTCTAATTGCCTTTGAACGCTTTGAATCTGAAGTTGAATATCAGTCTGTTGGAGAGGAAGGGTTAGGTTCACCGCAGACTAGCAAAATCTTCGGAACCAATCACCATGCCACCGTCGGTAATGCTTTCCGAGGTCGAAAGCTGAGACCCAGGAGCTGTCGTGACAGCAAAGGTTCCTATGATGGCAGGCCCAGTGTGCTGTTAGAGGTTCGTGCGAAAGTAGCGACTTATTTGAAAGTCCGGTCGACGTTGAGTGTCAAGCAAGTTGAAAGAAGGTAGAAGAGTCGCAGATAAGTCACACCTGACTGAACTGGTGCTTTCTAGGAAATGGAAAAGAAAAGTCGATCAAGTTGCTGCTCCAGTAGACTTCTGATGAACTCGATAAATTTGGTCTCGCATGGTCAGGGGAACAGACAGGTCTCTCCTGTCCTTCCGTTTGACGTTGGATGTACTATTGAAGGATGCACAAGGTGGCCTGGGAACAGCCATTGATGAGTAGGGCTCCCGATGAAAAGACCAGGTGCCACGTTAGGTAACTGGGCATAGGAGAAAACAGAGTTTAGATAGAGCACTTCCAGGGTCATGTGTATCAGGCATAGTCTGCGGGGGGAAGTCTATGGCTTAGCATTACTATGAGCTCTACAGCCGCTTCAAGAAGAATCTATCAGTTGGATGGAACGATCAGTGGCTTTGAGTATAAGAAGGGGCTGATGATCTGTAAACAGGGTCAAGTCATGAGTTGATTCAAATTGTACATTGCTCGGTACTTGAGCCCTATTTTACATCCTCAGCTGCGCGCTCTTGTAGTCTCATTCCGTCTCTCAATCCATCATCCGCTCATCACAGGAAGTTGATACCCACACCAACCGAGAGACCCTTGCGTCCCAGCTCTCCTCTCCTCATTACCAGAGGCAAGCTAAAGTTGAGCTCAAACCTCGCAACAGGGTGCGCGTACACCAGACCAAAACCAGCCGCTATGCTCGGCAAACCGTTGCTCAGCTCGCTGATGGCCCTGCTCATGCCGCTCTTAACCGCGCCAGGGCTCATCGCCAGTCCCTTGCTCTCCTGCTCGCGGGCCCTGCTCTGGTCCTGCAGAGCGACCAGACGGCCTCCGTTCGCGAACAGCTGCAGCCGGAGCGGTGAGTCGACTCCCGTACGGGGAAGGGGGAGCAGCATGTTGACGCTGCCCGCCGCGAAGACATCGCCACCAACGGAATCGCTTCCCTCACGAGGGCCTAGTCCACCGATCTTGAAGCCGCGCACGTCGGTGGGGCCGCCAAGCTGGAATCGATCGTTGATCAAACTGGGAATGGACTCACCCTTGGGGGACCAGCCAAGGGGGAGGGGGTAAAGAAGACCAAACCGGAGACCACCGCCGATGGAGATGCCGGTCCGGCTGCTGCTGACGCCTGGTAGCGGTACGGGAAGTGCTCCGGCGAGCTCAACCTCCGATTTCGAGAAAGCAACGTCCCCACGCAAGGGACCGAACCCCGCCAACTCCGTTATCGTCTTTACAAGGTAGCCGCTCTGGGGGAGCAACGGGTTGTCCCGGCGATCACGGGTCAAACTGTAGGTGAGGGAGCTCTTCATGCTGTCTCCAGCATCCGCCCGAACAGTGGGCGAAGCACCAGCGCTCAGTCCAGTAATCTGTCGCCATGTGCCAGAGTATGCAAGGTTGTGCAAGTCTCCCTGTTTTGACAGCCACGCCGCCTTCAAAGTACCCCCCTTGATCAGCTCATCATGGCTTGCCCAGTCCTTCTGCGTGTTCGAGGACAGTCCCTCCACGGTTAGTCTCAGATCGGGGTTGCCATTGACTGGGGCAGTGAGTGCCGCGCTGTAGGCCGACCTTGTCCGTGTTCCCGCGCTGGTGTTGATTGACAGCTGCTCGGCCCCACCGAACAAGTTCCTGCAGAGCAAGTTGATGTACCCGGAGCCCTCGGCGTTACCCAGGTCGGTACCACCCTTCAGCATGAACCGGGACTTCTCTGCGACGCGTATGGATACATCGATATCGGTTCCGGCGGCGTGGGGGTTCGAGTCGCGGGCATCGGAGAGGAAGACGGTGGGCTCGGGCTTGAAGATCTCGAATCGCTCCAGCTTGGAGGTGGCTTCCTGCACGCCGGCGAGGACCTCGCCGAGTGTTGTGCCGGCATTGCGACCGTTTCCAACGAGAGGGGCGAATACGGGGTCCAAAAAGCCTCTGCGAGTATTCTTGGCGCCGTGGACCTCAATGGAGTTTATGGTTGCCGGTCGTTGGAGATGGTCGCTCAGCTGTTGATTGCATGTTAGAAGGGACTTTTGTTGAACGCAGCGTTTCGCGGGTATTCAGGGTTGGCTGACCAGCTGTAACCGTCTCTGCAGAGCCTGCTGGTGCCGTGCGAGGTCGGCTTGCTCCATGTTCTGGGCCTCCTGGCGCAGAATGGCGGCATCGGTCTCGAGTTTCTGGAGGGCTTCGATGGCCTTGCGAACAACCTGGTGTTAGCCATTGAGTGCTAATAGGCAGCTGAGGGGAGGTGTACAGGCATGATACGTACAGAAATGCCACCGGAGCTTTGATTGGAAGCCATGGGCAGTTTCCAAGAGCTCTCTGGCTGATGTGCACCTTGCGAGATGGTCTGGAAACCTTTTAGATATCTCGCATGGCCGCAGCAGTCGCGTCTCGGAGAAGATCGCTCTCGCACCCGAAGTGGCTGTGCTTGTGGCTGGTGAGGTACGGAGGTACCTGACTACTTCCCTCGTATCCCGTCTCTTGCGACGTGCTTACGGCCCCCGTCAGGGAGGATAATTGAGCAGGTAGCAGTACAGGCAGTGATGCACCGCTTTGATCGCGAGAATATGGGTGAATGATGCGTCTCTTGGAAATTCACCAAACAACCATTCACAGTGCTCAGCATTGTGATTTCCAGCAAGAAGTGTTGATGGGCGCGGCCAGACGCCCAACGGAAATCGAAGCCCAGCATTGACAGAAGTTTAGCACCTTAGGCCACCCGCACCAAATCCACTAACAGTAGACTCAACGGCCTGCCCGGCCTGAGCAGGCACCGTGAGCCTGCCGCATGCGTACAAGGTGCCACTCTGCACCCCATTCTAACCAATTTGCCCGACCGACATCCATCACCGACCTTGTCAGCCCGCTTCCTAGAAAGGTCGCCTCTCGACACGCACCGAGCCCCGGACAACGTCCATTCCTTTGGGTGCTTTCTCATTTTCATTTCGTCGTCCGATTCGCCTAGGGCATTAGAAGTCTTCACGCAGTATTTGTACGATCGTTTGCGCCCGTTGCGTTCTCCATTTCACCAGGGGCGTCGTGACACATTTCCCTTTCTGACCAGCCCATCCCGAGTCGGCCGAATCATTTCCGGGAGCGCTCGTCAGCATCATTTGCCATCACCATCGACATCAACATCATCACCATTACCATCAACGCCGAATATTGATCACAACGCCATACAGCAACCATGGCTACCAAGGCCGCCCGGACGCGCTTAACGCGCGAGTACAAGACAATGCAGAAGGAGCCCACGCCCTACATCGTCGCCCACCCATGCGAGACCAACATACTAGAGTATGTCCATTCCTCCCGCTCTCTCCTATTGTGGCGACCTACGGGTCTGGTATCGCCTGGATGTGACTGACCGAATCTTCAATCAGATGGCACTACTTGATTACCGGTCCGCCCGACACACCGTACCACAACGGCCAGTACTGGGGCACACTCATTTTCCCGACCGACTACCCCTTCAAGCCACCAGCAATCCGCATGCACACCCCGTCGGGACGCTTTGCGCCCTCCACCCGCCTCTGCCTCACCATCTCCGACTTCCACCCGCGATCCTTCAACCCGGCCTGGAGTGTCAGCACCATCCTGGTTGGTCTGCTGTCGTTCATGACGTCAAACGATGTCACGACCGGCTCCATCACAGCCTCCACCGAGGAGCGCAGGCTCCTGGCCGCCCGGACGCGCTGGTGGAACTCGACCGGAGGCGGTACGTACGAGAGCGGGAAGGCCGCGCAGAAGGGAAACATCAAGGTCGGCGACGGTGGCAAGAAGTTCCGCGAGGAGTGGCCTGAAGAGGACGCTGCCAACTGGGAGTGGATGAAGGAGAACAAGATCGACGTTGCCACTGGCCAGAGTCTCAATGCCGCCGGTGCGCCTTGTGGACCGCCGCTTGTTGGTTCCATGGGGACCAGCGGCAGCCAGGTGCAAGGGGTCGTGGACGCGGTTGTGCAGCAGCGAGAGGCGGGCAGGGGCTGGATGGCCGACCACAAACTTTTGATAGCTGGCGGCGCCATTTTCTTCTACGTTCTGATTGCTCGCCTGCTTGGCCAGGGGATTTAATGGGCTGACACAAGGCCGATCGGCCAGCCAGCCAGCCAGTTCGGGTGCCTGTGTCAGTTCAGGGCTCGGTCTTCATAATTCTTTTGCTTGTTTTAGCATTGGCGTTCGGTTTGCACGTGTCTGCTGCATAGACATAACGCCCGGGGCCACACACATGACCAGTTTAGGGAAGCTCATGGTTGCTCTGCGTTTGCCGCCAGTTTGCAGTGCAGAAGCCACTACAACTCATCCATCTCAGGCATATCCGGACGAACTTGATGTGACGAATAAGGACTTGGCGGCTCAGGAGCTTTTGTAATCCATGTGTCCATTTACCTGATGATATCGAACAAACCAGCATAAGCATTTGTAAGCGTGCGTGTCGTCACCGCGGTGAACAGAGTGAGCGCCGACATTGCGCGCGCGTGGTCGATCATGATTGTTTCAACCAAGTTTATGATCAGAGTTGCGGAAAAGCCACGGGCCCGTTCGGAAGATCCCAGTTCTCAGCCCTTCACTCCACTTCCCGCCAGAGTGTTTTGTCTCCTCCATATGATGGCGGGATGGCGTTGAGTTCATGCGTGTCGGCATCACGGGTCGACACATCTGTGAGATCGTCTGATTCTGCGACGTCGTGGAGGGATATCCGCACTGGGACTCCTTGCCCTGCATGAGGCTTATACTTCCAAGGCATTCTGACACGGGGTGATAACCTTTGTGATGGATGACATACACGTATATTGTGTGGTTCTCAAGGATCTAAGTTAATTTTGTCGGCCCGTGGCGTTTCGCATCTTGCTACCTGGAGAAGCCGTGTAAGCAGTATCGCTAGAAATCATCGGGGAGATAGGCATTATACTGTGCTGCGTACATACGTGTAGCACGTATAGCCAACAAGCCTCTTCACACAATGCCATGCCGCCTCAGCCAAACAATCTTTGTGCCGGCGGGCGCGACCCAGGTAGCTGACTGCCCACCAGTCTGCCCACTTCACGAGATGATCAGCAATGTCAATTCTTGGTTGCCCAAAAGTCAGGCCGTACACGATGATGTCCCAAGCATCCTCGTTCTCACTCGTGCGGCTTGCGGCTGCCGAAGCGACAAACAAGAAAAATCGCCGACCGACCAGAGCACGGTGGCCGGGTGGAGACGGGGAGAAGCTTCTCCTGTCGTGCCCCAAAGCTAAATGAGTGGTGCTGAAAGCTTCTATAGGTCCATATTTGTTATCATCAAACTATCAAGAGTCCGGACAACAATTCACATGCCCATCATAATATAGAGGCCACGGCAAGCAGTTGCCTATCTTCCTTGGGTCTGCTGTGGGACTGCCGTCGTAGGGCTAGTAGATGGCACTCGGGTTGGATCCCGCGAGTGGGCCTCCCACGTTGTATCCCAGATCTGACAGGCAACATCCTTGCCGACAATGGGCCTCCGGTCCAGGGGCTGTCTCATGGCCTCCATGCGTTCTGCTTGGCCCAAGCCTGAAGCAGCAGCGACAACTTTGTCCCCTCACATTTCACCTCTCAAAATCTCAACGCGGTGATCACAACTGGACTGCCGGGCTAATGATGAGCCCACTCCAACGCCCAGCATCTGTTCAACCTCACCAGTCACACGTGCGTACAGATGATACTGTCTGTCGATTACCGTTAATATCTGTGCACAATGCGTGGATTGAGTCCGCGTGCGCGCCACGCCATCTGCCGCCCCACCGGCCCTTTATAGCAACTCGCCAACCATTTTCGAGACGTCGGCACGGGGAAGCAGACGCATTCTACCGGGCAGAGCAAGGCACTAGTCCGGGTGGCCGTTGTCCAGATGGGATGGATGGTGGGACACCATCTTCAGCCTCTGGGCCCTAATGCGCTGTCCACGGCAACAACCCTGGCGCAGCTGCAGCTCCTGAGACTGCCGCCCACCGCACTGACTGCGGCATCCAGCGCATACAACTAACTTCCTCAGCCGTCGTCAACGGTTCGCCACCAATGAGACGCCTGCATACTGCTGCTCTCGCAGACACGTCAAGCGTACCGGATCTGCGCAGGCTGCTGGCGATCCCGGTGGCTCGAAACCGCGGGCATCGGCAAGCCAGTCATACACCTGCTTGCCCACAATCCGCCGTGGCAGGGGCGAGACGGTTGCCGTCTGGTGTTTGTGTGCAATGACAAAACTTCGCGCAGCGGATGCCAATCATCGACTGACGGTGTTGCGTGTCGTCTTCTGGAAGCCCTCACTTTCCCGTCGCTACGGCCTGCTGGGATCAAGAGTCATGGCTGTCACGAACGGAGACCAAGACCCGTCTTGGATCGTCCAAAGTCAGAGTTTGCCGGCAGTCTGAGCGCAGCAGATGCGCTTGGTGAACGTCACTAACGGTATAATCCTTCAGACGAGAGCCTTGCTATTTGCCCAGTCTAGGCTACTATTCTTGCCTCCAGCCCCATCAATACGGAGTGAATGTCCCTGGTTTTATTGAAGTCTATTCAGTGGGATCCATGTCTGCAACGAAATATCGTGAAGCCCCTGACAGGGAGCCATAACCACCTGGGCCCTGGTCAATCCCCAGGAACAGCGCCCGGACGTCAAAGTCGAGACCTTGCCCACAATGCACTAGACCTAGAGCCTGGGCAAAGTTCAATCTGGGCACCCAAACCTTGTGACTTCACCGGTCAGGGGAGCAGAACCTCAAACTGCTCTGCATGATGGCCATCGGCGGCTCTCTCTCGAAACACTCCCATTTGTGTTGCTGCCACATCTTATACCTTCTTTCACGTATATGCTCTTTGCTACATGTTTTGGCGTTTGGGGATCAGCCATGGTGTTGTGAAGTCGGCAATTCATTGATATACATGCCATCCTGAGTCGCTTCGCTGCAACCTCTCACCAGGCTTTCATATCTCTCTCTCTCTCTCTCTCTCTCTAATGGCCCGGCGCCCGAAATAAACAAAAAATCCGTATCAACAAAAGCCAGCAGATATGGCGGGCCGTATGAGCTGGCCCCTCCAGAGGGTCGACACCAACACGTTCGCTCAGATGGATACGTACCCGGAGGACAAGAAGGAACCCGATGTCGAGGTCATGTCGATTCGGAGTGATGGCGACTCAACGCAGGTCGTGGGTAGCGCAGACATGTTCGATGAGAATGGAAACCTGAGGTTGATTCCGGTGCGTTGGTCCTCCACCGGCTAAGGAAAACACCAGGCTGACTCTTCACTGCCTAGATGCCCACATCAGATCCGAAGGGTAAGACTTCTCAATACGGGTAGTATCACAAATATGCAACGGTAGACTGACGAGACGCCAGATCCCTTGAATTTGCCCAATTGGAGGAAATGGACTGCCGTTGGTACCCTTTGCTTCTGTGAGTAGCCTCAACGCATCTCATCGTCGTACCTGGCCACTCAATTATGGCGTCTGACTGGTCCTGCCCATGGAAATAGTCGGCTCCTTGGCCCTCTCCGCCGAGGTCATCATCGGTTCACTGATCCCCATATTCCTCCTCGAATACGCCGGCCTCGACCCGACAACGATCAGGAACATCGACTTCGTTGCCGCGTCCGGAGGCAAGGGCACGCAGCTCAACCCCTTGGCCGTCATCCCGCAGGGCGTGAAGCCGCCCAGCCTGGAGGAGGTGTCTATGCTGGCCACCATCCCGCTGCTCACCAACGGCATCGCGAGCTACCTGCTGGTCCCCCTCTCGATCGCCATCGGCCGCCGTCCTGTCCTTCTTTTGACGGCTGTGCTCGCCTGGGCTGGTGGGCTGTGGGCAGGACTGTCAACTTCCCTGGAGTCCCACCTCGCTGCACGAGCGGTCATGGGACTGGGTGCTGGTGCGGTCGAGGCGTTGATCCCGCTCATTGTGCAGGATATGGTCTTTATCCACCAGCGCGCCAAGGCACAGTCTGCTATCGTGGCTAGCCAGGTGAGAATTTCCTGTTGCTCTTGCTGTATGTGTAAGCTCACCAACTGACGGTTGCACAGGGCTTCATTATCATCGGTCTGGGCATTGCCGCCCCGTATATCTCCGCTAACTACAATTGGCGATATCTGTACTACGCCACTTCAGGCGCCGGTATTGTCGCGTGGTTACTCCTGATCGCACTGCTCCCTGAGACTCGATGGACCCGTTCTAAGGAGGCGCTCGGTAAGTCTCTGAAACTACTTAACCTTTCTATTAACACTTACTGATGGCACACGAACACAGGCGGCAAGTCCGAGGAGAAGCTTGAACCCGGAGCAGTTCGTCCCCAGATCGACTATGCCAGGTTCGGCCCACGTACGCTCTGGACGAACATCGGCATATTCAACTACGGCTTCGAGTGGAAGAACGCCGGAAAGTCGATGCTGGACACCCTGCGGACGACCTTCTTCCCGGCCGTGGTCTGGGGCGTCCTGGCCAACAGCGTGTTCCTGGTCACGAACCAGGCGGCCCAGCAGCTCGGCTCGTTCGCCCTGCTCGCCCAGGGCTGGGAGTTCCAGTGGACGGGTCTGTCGGTCGTCCCCTTCGTGCTCGCCACGGGCATGGTCTTCGTCATCGTCGGCCCCGTGGCGGACAAGGTGTCGACGCGGATCGCGAAACGTCGCAACGGCGTCCGCGAGGCCGAGTACGGCCTGGCCAACACCATCCTTCCCTTCATCGCCGGCATCGCGGGCTGCTTCGTCTTCGGGTACGCGGGCGAGTCTGCCGTGCACTGGTCGGTGCTGCTTCTCGGCTCGTTCCTCATCATCTTCGGCTTCCTGTGCCTCATGGTCACCATCAACGTCTTCATCGTCGAGTCGTACCCGCAGTGGGCCGGGCCTGTCTTAGTTAACGTCAGCTCGCTCAAGATCATCATCGCCTTCTTCTTCGCCAGCCTGGCTACCACCTGGGTTGCACAGAAGGGCCTCCTCGCGACTTTCGTCATCTACGCCGAGACCATGATCGTTATCTCCATGTTCATGCCTGTGGTCAGTACCATTCTTCTCCTGCTACACATCCCCGATCTTTGTGCTATAGAATGTTCCAGAATGTGTCACTTTGGGATCCATAGCAGGTGACTAACAGGTACTAGCTCTGGTTTACCGGCAGGAGGCTCAGAATTTGGACGGCCGGAAGGGTCAAGTCCAAGCCGGCGCCCAGGACGAGCAGCTTCGGTGCGCAGTCGAGGTTCTCCCAGTGAGGTCTCGCACTGTGCTATCAGTGGGTTAGACCGGCCGCAGGTCGCATAACGTCGCCTGTGAGGTACGATTTGATGAGTGGCTTTTGAAAAGCACTTCTTTTAGTTCTGCCCAGGGTGCACTTGGATATCAAGCGATGCATGCCAGACTGGGCAGTTCTTAGACCCAAAAACTCTCCAGTCATTACCAGATTCGTGGATTCGGAGTTTTGAAAGGTTATCGGTGGGATGGAAATAGAACCAAGGGACATAATTCAACCAACTGGGCACAGGTGGTTGCCGCCGGCTCATGTGCCCGTGAGCAAAGAGGCTTACTCCAGTGCTGAGCGATGGCTAGGAGGTTCGCAGGGGGTGCCCGTGACCCGCCGGGGACCTGGAGGAGATTCTATTTCACCGCCGTATATATACATACATGAAGAAGAGATTCGTCTAGTATCCTATACGACCCAAAGCAAGCCGTACAGGTCATCATCAACGAGCTATCCAATACCACATCCCTTCTTTTTCACATCCGGATCGAACACCTGAACTCGTAGCAAAGCCTGAGGGCTCCTTGCGCCTGGCCCGTCGGTGATGCCACCAGATGATCAATCATTCTTGCCCGAATCGAACGCAGCCCAAGAACCGATTAGATTTCCAAAAACACAGGATCGATTTCGGAGTAGTCCCACGGGCCCAGTGGATCTCCAGTGGTCTCCGGTCCAGGATTCGACAGGTCCAGCCCCAGGAGGGAGTCGTCCCTCCTCATCGAAGAGCTAATGCCGCCAGAGAGCAAAGGATCAGTATTGTCAAAGGCCCGAAAACAGTCTTGGACCACACGATCATCAATCGACGGGAAATTGTCGTCGTCTGTGAGCCGCCCTGGACTGGCCGTGACAACAGGGTCGCCGCTCGTCTCATACGGCCTGACCTCATGAGGTACATGGTACTGCGTCCCAGGCTGGGCGGCGTAGAAGACATCGTGTGTGTCTCCGTTGTTCTGCGGCATGGACCCGTACCCGGAATCCGCGTCCCTGGGTCTGTTGGCGCCGCTGACTGCAGAGTTGTCTCCGGCTCGCAATTCGGCATTGACTTTTGACACGTTGGTGGCCGTCGTCTGGCGTGTCACGCGAGAGGCCCCTGAGCGAGGTCGAGAGAAACCTTCGAAAATGCCTTCGCCGTGGCTGATGGATTGTTGGTCGGTTTGTGCCGTAATGCGACCGGGCGCGTAAATCATCTGGGGCTGCACTGCCTGGAATGCCGCGGTTGCATCTGAGAAATGACAGATTGATTAGCACCCATGCAGCACACGAGGTGGCCAATGGTCATCACCAGGGGGTTTGACCAACGGTATGTCTCCGGCACAGGTTTCCGGCACGCCTTGTACAGGGCTTCCAGCTTGGCTTCGACGTCTCTCATCGACCTGATCTTTTCGAAGAGCTCCTGCTGCTTCCAGTCCAGTAGCTCGATTCTGCTCTCGTCGGGGCCGTCGAAGTATAATATACCGCGGCGTTTTCCGTCGCAGCTCTTCCAGTGGTCTTCCTTCTTCTCTTTGACATCCTTGCGAGACGTGGAGATGCTCCAGCGAAGAGGGCAGAACCCACAGCGGAAGAACCGAGTATGCTTCCGCCATATGTGCTCGCTGCAGGGGCGTCGTCAGCTGGGTTTTCATGGTTGGGAGGGGCACTGTGCCCTTGCCGGACGACGGCCCATGTTGTACGTACAAGAGTAGCCTAGGCTCTTTGAATCCTTCAGTCGGCTTGCACACATCGATGTTCATGTACGTCTCGGGGTTGGACTTGGCAAAGGGGCACGCGAGCCCACGGGTCCCGACCTCAGCCCTGTTGTACAGTTCCGGCGCCTCATGCTGCCGGCCGCTGGTCATTGACACAACTTAGTAGGTTCGATTCGACGACGAGAACGCTGTCTCAAACTGGGCGATATAGCCTTTGATCCGACTCTGGCGGTCGGTCTCTGGCCCTACTACGAGGAGGGCGAAAGGCTCGCTGCCCGGTGTCGTGTTCAGGAACTTCTGGATCTGGAATGTCGGGGGGCGTCCTAGGTTTGCGGCGGCCGAGGAAGAGATCTGCCGGGCAATCGATCAGCAACTTCCAGCTTGCCTTCTCGTGATGGCTTTGGGACGTCTCAGGCGAGCGTGCGCTGAATGCAGATGTGGTTGGGTTGTTGGTCGGCTCGCGTGCTCACCTGGGAGGATGATCGACTTCCGCCGTGGAGAAACATCCAGACGCTCCTGAATAAGTATCTGAGTTGGGGCAAGGTTTCTTTCGCGGAGCTCTCGAGCTCGATAGGGGTCGCTTTTTAAAGCTGCTTCCTGCTGTTTAGACGATGGAGCCATTCAAGTTTGGCAGAAGAGGACGGGGACGGGTGAGTTGGCGAAAGGGGAGGGGAAGGAAAACCAGACCAAGACCCTGCGATCGCAGCGACCCTATTCCCGCTTTTCGGCCGCTCCGAGCACAGCCCGCCCATATACGACAGGTTTGAGACTGGCAAGCAGTCGATGCCCCGCTTCGACTGCTAGATCTGCACGCATGCAAGACCTCATGCAGGCTGGCTGCTAACCAGACCTGTTCCGTACAGGTTCAGTTGCGGGGCTGCTATGCACGTCGATTGTGGCTTACACTGGGCTTCAGTTTCGTACAGACCCCAAATTTTCCGACGCGACAGATAGTGACATGATGTGTAGAATATGGAACCCCTGACCAAGTTCGTGGTTATAAAACATAGGTATATTTAATGTGGTGAAACATTGTTGAAAGACCGAGTTATTGTCCTACCTAATCTACGCACCAACCCGCCTGGCGGGTAGCGAGACAGTTTTAAATCTGTCGTACCCGAGCTGATTAGTATGCTGACAATTGATAGCAGTCTGAAGACTTCCTGTAAGCGCTGTTGATCACGGTGACAGCCGCACTTACCAGCTCCATCACTCTGTCACGTCGGTTCATACAGCTCGTGTTTGCGCCGATAATTTCGACGGTCTGCGTCTGTCTGACCAGCTCCGATCTATATAACAGGGCAGATAATATAAGTTGGCGGGTTACAGTTGAATTTAAGGGCGGATGATAATGTGTCGCTTTGAAAGTTGCTAAGTTAGATTGGGTCCGCCTTACAAGAACAACATCCGCGTGTAAGAACACTGCTTCATAAATGGATCGACTTCTCTAAATGTTACGTAACGGTTTGTCAGAATGTATATTCTGTTAACTAGTTGTCAGTAGTTGGCAAATTACTAATTTGATCACAAGTATGAATACTGTATCACCCTGTGGATGCAACAGCAGTAACTCCCGTCCATAATGACAGTGAGATATTGGACAGTTTGGGAAGAAATATCAAGGCAGTACCGCAACAATAGTCTATTGATATCAACCATCTTGCACATAAGTGCAAACGTCACCACGGAATCAGAACATGGGCAGTCGATGTGTGGCGCTCTATACTGCACGCTCCGTTGTCAGTCGATCAATCTTTGCTTCCACCTGAGTGCAGGGCCCGAAAAAGAAGATCGGATATTCTAGCTGTGCCTCGAAGAAGATCCTAGTTGAAAAGGTCAGCCCAGGTTGATGTTGGTCCCACTAAGCGATGTCCCCACTACCAGCCACTTTTATTCTCACCTTTCTTCTCATCCATTTTACTCACTCTAATTATTCACTATTAGAGCAAACTCCGCGGAGCTCAATTCACACCACCGTTTCAGCCTAACTACGAGGCTGAACTCCTATTTACTTGATTCTTCGTCTTCGCCGACGTCATCTGGCCCTCCGTCTCCACATGATAATACAAGCTCTGAAAGTCGCCCTATATACCTGCTCAAGTAATGACATCACAATTCTGGCAAGTTTCGACTTAATGGGACCACCGTGGATCCTGCCAACAAAGACAACCAGGTGGCGAAAAAGAATTCAAGGAAATTGGCCCCGGCCAGAGGCGCTCAACACGATAGCACTGGGGCTGGTACGACTCCAAGACAGTGCACCGAATCGCTTTCCAGAGCCCTGTCTGATATCGCAAGGCAGCCGTCTGGCAGAGTGCCCACCTCAAACGTTACGAAGGGCAACATGCGCAAGCCAAATGTCTTGCAAAATCAAGGAAGAACTGGGCCGCCTAGACCCGGTGTTACAACTAGTCCAGATCCCTGGGCCATGGCCTCTTAGGACTATAAACCGCTCATTCTCGTGGTGCCGTCGCCCCCGCCGGTAGTCTTCGGGGTCGAGCTGCTAGACAAGCAAGGCAATACACTTCACATGAGCTCCGGGACAATAGACGGAATTTTGGCTAAGTATGCCGGTCGGTTAACAAAGATTCGTGAGAAGCGCAGGGCGGAACAAATGAGAAAAGCGGGAAGAGAAGCAAAATTGGCTGTTCGAAGCAAGCTGTGATTATATACCTATATTATTGCTTCGGGACAGAGTTTCCTTAATATGCACAAAAGAGCCAGCTTCATTCAGATATCCGCCGGCCCAAGACCGAGCTTACTGTATGAAATCATGATTGCCAAATAGACCTTGAGAATATTCACATGTGACGGGGAGTAGCAGTCGAAGAGCCAATACACCTCACAGAACACGACAGGACTAAGATAAGATAAAATAGGTTGTTCTCCTATCACCGTGCTCGAGGTTATGCGCTCATCAGCAAAATCCCGGATTGTGTCGCTCCAGTCTCCACAAACATTGTTTGGGCTAAAATAAAGGCTCATGTCACACAATAGTACTCGGTTCAATGAAGGCCGTTTCCCCTCCGCACCGCGGACATGTGCGTGATGAGACCTTCGATATGAGACTGCCCGAGGCGAAAGAAATCAGCTCCAGCGACGACGGAGTGATTCTTGGCTCATTCCAAATGGCAGTCCTCCGCTATTCCTCCTACCGCTTCCGACTGGATCGCATTATCTCTGACATCAAGGAGCATCTTTACTACCTTCCGGACAAAACTTCCCAGGCTTTGACGAGCGTGAGCCCCGAATCGCACCAGCGTAACATCAGACTGGACTTGGATGAGTGGTGGGAAGAAACTGTTCTCGGCTTGGCTGCTATCACTAGCGGAGTTGGGGCTCGACAGAAAAACATCTGGCGGCTGAAACTGGAAATTCGATACCACCTGGCACTAGTTCTGTTATACCATCCGTCGCAAGAGATACGTAACCCATCGCAGGATCATCTTTTGCAGTGTTTCAGCGGCGCCTGTTCGATCTTGGATCAGTATCAGGCCTTATATGAGGCAAAAGCGCTCTACCACGGATGGTTCCCGGTGCAGTATCTTCGCCGCAGGTGCAACGCTGGTATACTCTTTCTGGACTTCGCCAGCTGTGCGGCGTGACGCGACTGGTGTGCAGCTGTTGCGCAGGCTGAGAACGTGCTCGAACCTGCTGAGCGCCGGAGGGGAGTGGTGGCCCAGTGCCAGGAAGGGCCTGGACAGCTTGGGCTCTGTGGTTGACCTGACCATCCAGAGGTTATACGATGGGGACAGGGTTACGTCTAAACAGCGCCGCCTGACAGGTCCTGAGGAATCCGAGAGACCTAGAATCACAAGCCTCCATCACGGCACGTCGGAAGGCGATGCGGTACACGCTGCCCAGCACCATACTTCCTCTTCCTCTACCGTGGCTAATTTATCTCAGCCATGGACCCAGCCTTACGACTTTGCTCACGACGCAGGGCCCGGATCCTGGGCCTCGACCTCGGAAGATCTGGAAAACAATCCTCGACGCCCATTTACAGCTGTTGAAGAGGCAAACCCCCAGGAGCCAGGTGCAGAAGGGCTCTTTCCCGAGATCGAGGACTTCCTGGCCGACTTCAATCGCTCTGAATTCAGCTGGAGTTTCCGAATGAGTGCCCCCCGCAGGAGAGCAACTCTATCGGCGACACCTGGACCGCGGGTTTGTAGAAGGCCTATTTAATTCGACGCCTCCTTGAGGGAGGTACCTATATCGCAATTCCCTGATCCCCTGCGTGAACCAGACCTCGGTAAGCCGAGTCGTCATCGCGCAAGGAGCTGGGGTCGAAGCTCGGTTGGGGTCACTCTCGGCACGGAGCACTCCAGCGTCATGCTGGCCGGTACGGAGCCATCCGTGATGTGGCACACTAACAACTCCGGAGCCATCCGTGCAGGGCGCCGTCCCCACAATCATTCCGGAGCATCGCGTCTGAAGAGTCCGGTCGCACTCAAAGACTATCACATGCTTTAGAGCCCGCCATGTCCAGTCCAGGTCGAAAACTTTCAGATCACTTCGCGATCAAGTACTGTTGCTGTATCCAACATGGGCAGCGGCGAGTAGAGCGACCTCGCTTTTCGCATAGTTATTAGCCATTTCGCCATTTGGTATGCGACGGACATGTTGCAGAAGGCTCCAAATTCCAGCCCCAAATGTCCAGGCAAGACGTTTATTTGCGACCCATGCATCTTGGGTACCTGCCAGTCCGCTCGAACCGGAGAGAAAAACCCGCCCTTGTCGTGCCCTGTAGACCTCCAGACACAGTTGATCTGACCGGGGTAATTAAAGCAAAATGTCCTCGACTATGATTCACGACTCCGGACACTCGCTACGGTTCGACGAGCAGGGACTCGACCCCTGACCCTTTCGGAGAAGATTTTATACAGCCACTTGGACCTCGGAACGCGGGAGTGGTCTCTCGAGGACATAGAAAGGGGCAAAATCATCCTACATCTACGCCCGGATCGGGTTGGCTGCCACGATGCTACGGCGACAATGGCGTTGCTTCAGTTCATCAGCACCGGTCTCCCGAAGGTGCAAATACCGACCACCATCCATAGCGATCATCTCATCGTGGCTGAATATGGAGCCAAGGAGGATATGCAGCGGGCAAAATCCGATCACAAGGAGGTGTATGCCTTCCTGAGCAGCGCGGCGCGGAAGTACGGCATCGGCTACTGGAAGGCAGGAGCCGGGATTATCCACACCACCATCTTCGAGAACTACGCGGTCCCGGGCGGGCTCATCATCGGAACGGACTCACACACCCCGAATGCCGGCGGCATGGGAATGATGGGAATTGGGGTCGGCGGCTCAGATGCCGTCGACGGCATGGCGGGAATGCCCTGGGAGCTTGCGGGCCCTGCAGTCGCGCGGGGCGCGCTGGTGTATCGTGGGCGACGCCAACTACGGCGAGGGCAGCTCGCGCGAGCACGCGGCGCTCGAGCCGCGGTTCCTGGGGTGCAAGGCCGTCATCGCGCGGGGGTTCGCGCGTATTCATGAGACGAACCTCAAGAAGCAGGGGTTGCTGGCGCTTACGTTCGCGGATGCCGCTGACTATGATAGGATCAGGGAAGGGGACTCGATATCCCTTCCCGGCATCGAGGATGGGGAGATGCAGGTCGATGTGCCGATTATGATGATTGTGCGGTCTATGGACGGGAGCGAGTGGAGTGCTGAGTTGAGGCATTCGTATCAAGCGAGGCAGATTGAGTGGCTTAGGGCGGGGAGTGCTTTGAAGTATATCAAAGCCAATGCTTTGGCGAAAGACGAGTGACCCACCTTTGCCCAAGGGAGCATGCTTCGTATGGACTCACTATGAAGCAGAATCAAGGCTATTATGCACTTTTATGACCCATGAGGTTGCCTAGGAAAACAATTTAGAGCTGTGCTTGTCAGGAACGGGATGTCTAGGTAGCATGTACCCCGCCGTCCTGACACCGCTGCATCACCTGAATGCCACCTGGCATTCGACTGAAGTCTGTAGCCGAAAGACCTTGTGTCTATCCCCATTATGTTCAGCAGTCTATCACTCGAAGTAGACCCCGACCTCTTCCATTTTCGATTTTGTCCAGTCAAGCTGAGTTGCGCTTGCAATGGCCTCGAACGATCAGGCCGCAGATTGCCTTCTGATCTTTCGCAACTCACTCCTCGGAGGTGTAATCTACACGCCCAACCGCATTTGTGGTCTACACACCACCAGCAAGTGTTCCCTGGGCAATGGATGCACCTGTTTTTCGCCTGGTTAAACAATGTGCGGCGACGGCCAAGACGGGAACTTCGTCTTCAATCTGGACAGGTTCAAGAACTTTAACTTAGGCCCCAACATTCTTGGAATGGTTACTTGCTCCGATGAAAGATTTGATTTAAACGCAGAGAAGAGACATGAATATGGAAGTATCAAAGTGTGACCAGATCTACCACCCAAAATTGATTGCCACTGTATCGAAGCTCAAACGTCTTTCAACTCTTCCGGACGTTTTTCCCTTCCGCAACTTTCAGTCTCCGCTTGTTCAACCGGCCTTCGAAAGACTTGAGCAATGCAAGAGGCTCTGTTGTAGGCATGAGTTGTTTGAAGTGATCTGGTAAGATCCTATTGCCCGTTGTAATATTTTCAGCGTCATCACTTTTCTTTGGAGACTCCTTGAAAGAAGGACGACGTGGGCGAGCCTGCTCATCTAGAATTCTGTCCGATGCCACTTTGTTCTTCGGCATACGATCATCCTCGGAATTCCGCCTGGTGGTCAGCCAATCCACGAGAAGCTGATAGAGATGTCCTGTGGGAGGATAGTGGGGTCAGCATCTGATTCAGACCGGCGACGAGTGCAATCGGAATGTAACAAGTCACATGCTTACTTGAGATGGTGAGCAAGAGCATAGAATTGCCGAACGAGATCAGCACAGCTCGCGATGTCGCATAGATAGGCATCACGACAATTCCGATGGCTACCCTCCAGATGGCGTTGACCGAGAGGTTCCCGGTCCCAAGAGTTGTCCAAGCTGATGAGATTATGCGTGTTGGCACTTCAAGGAAAATGTAAGCAGGCCAAAACCAAGAACTGACCAACCAATCCTTCTTAAAGTATGCCTGGTGCAGCCTCTGTGATTCACGGTGCCCATTGTAGGTCATCGTGCCCTTGACCAGGAGAGACTCCAGCCTGGTACCGTATGAGTATTTTTGCACCTTCCGGTTGACCACATGAATGGCCTGCTTGGTCCTAGAAATCATGAAATTGACCACAGAAAGTGCCTTCGCACTCGCGGCAACAAAAACGCTGACACCGAAAACCAAGATGGCAGTGACTGCAAAGGCGGCAGCGGCGAACTTCGCGAGAGAGACGATCAAGTCGTTACTAGGCGCGCCGTTCATGCTGTAGAAGCTCGATGCGAACCCGAGAGGCAGAAAGATGACAGTCACGTACGTGAAGTACCGGATGTTCTGCTCCCTGTTTGCCTCAAGGTCGGCTCGTACATTGTCTCGGCGTGTGATTAAGGTCTCCCTCAGCTTGCACATCTTGTCGCGGCAATTCTCAAGATCCCATCGCTGCCTTTCGGTCTGGTTGCGCAGCTTGTTGATGTACCCTCGGTATTTTCTCTCATCGTTCCGTGTCCACCTAGGCCTTTCTTGACCACGATCGACTTCCCTAGTAGCCCATTTAGAAAGTGTGCTCAAGGATGACGTGATATCTTCCTCTGCTTTCTGTAGAAGCTCCTCATATATCTGCCAACGATCTTCTGATAGTGAGTACGCCTCCGTTGTCAGTACGGAGAAGATGAGATTCCCTTTCTTTAGTCCAAGCTCTGTTTCGATGACGTTCAATATCTTATTGGATGCGACCAGGATAAGCCCCAACATGTGTTGAAGAAGCTGCAATTCCAGAACCTTTCGCTGCCAAAATTGTTTATCCTGGCGAAGGTTTGCACCCGGGTCCCCTGGAACGCCGCGCACAATGCGCGAAACACCAGGGACGTATTGGATAAAGTGGCATGTCCAGTAGCGGTCGAAGAAGTCGCCATCGAAACGGAAGCTCATTGACGCACGTCTCAGCTCTTTTTCAGAGCCTCTGGGCCAAGGCGCTATGATTGGATGGGGCAAGCCTGGGCAAAGTGGTTGTCTCTTTTCGTAGATTACCCAGAAAGACATGTGAAGCTCTGTTTGCCAGACATTAAGGACCATGGTGGTGTCATCCCACAGATGGTTTTCATATTCTGCGTGACGATCAAAGAATAGGGACATGGCAGGCTTCTCTGCTTCGGTAGTGGCGAGCCAGCAAAGAAGGGCTGTCTGTGGGTCGGAACGCAAAGGTAGCCACAGAAAACGTTTTTTTGCCTTGATTGCAGATCGAGCCTCAGAGATTGTGTCCCAGAGTTCTTCATTGGGATTAGGGCCGGGCAGGTAAGAGATGAAAGCGCCAAAATCCCGCTTTCCTCGTTTCCGTCGTCTGCTCTTTTGTTTCGGCAGGCTTGCCACCAGGCCATCCATGGCCCAGTCGAGCTTGAAGTGTGAGAATGGAAAATTCTCCGACAACCTTCCATTTAAAGACGCAAGAGCTTTGACTATGACGGAGCTGTATTCATCGACGAGTCTGTACTGGTCAAAGCTTTTGGCAAAAGCCGACTTGAGTTGCTGGTGCAAATCGATGTTCTTGGTCAGCAAGAAGTCTGGGTAATTGTAAAGCCATTCCTCATCCAGAGTAGTGATACTGCTGGCATCGATCATGTTGTTGAATGGCATTGATTTCTTCATGACCATCGAGGTCCGTTTTCTGTCAAGACGGCCATCTGCTCCCAAGAGCTGTGCCAACGCTCTGTAGTCGCTGGCATGTTGATGGTTCACCGTTCTCTGCTTCTTGAGTTCCGCTAGAATCTCATCGAGGACGGTAGTATTCATGCCGCGTTGTGGCTGATGAGTGTTGTCTCCGATTTGCTTTGCAATTGCGGCCGGTGCGTAGGGAGTGGTCTGTTCGGATTGATACGTTGCATCAAGCTCTCTAGCATATGCCAGAAGGATATGACAGACCTCGAACCCGACATGATAGTAGTAATCTCTATTCTCCTCTTCTGAAAAGATTGATGGCCCCCTAGTTGTGATATCCATTTCCCCAGGGATGAAAGCATTATGGGCGCTGACTTTCATGAGGCTTTCCACAGACTGTTTGAGCAATTCGGCAGGTCTCCTCTTGTCGATAGAGAAACCTTTTAAGCCAGCCACTGCTCCCAGGGCTGACCGCAATGGACTTTGCCTCTCCTCCTCGAGAGTCTCTTCGTGATGACTCTGAGATCTGATAGTTCGCTCCCAGAGCTCGCTGAAAGGTGTGTCGGGGAGAAAGAACTTCCGATCGTGACCATAAAAAAGTGCTGTATCCCGAGTATGGAAGAAGAAACGGGTTTCTCTTGCTGAACGAGTTACGGCCAGCATACGCTCTTGCGAGACGTCGTTTTCAACGGTGAACCGCTGGAGCACTGCTCTCTGGACATCTTTGGGTAAAAGCCGTTTAGCTTTCGAGGAGAATTCCAGAAATGTGTCTTCCTCCCGCTCTCCGCCCGAGCTGGTCGTTGCGTTTCCCGCGTTGAGTTTGGATGCAGGTGACGGAGAATATATACTGGAGACCCATCTGTCTGATGAGTCCCTCTGATATTTGCTGCTGGCATCAGCCAAGCTCCACAAGTCGAGATAATGTAGTTCGCTCAGACTGTTCCACAACCAGAAGTGATCATCGAGACGATATGTATTCACTCCATCCTCACTTGCGTGACGCCATGCACAGGCGTTCCGTTTGTCCAGATCGTCCAGCTCGTTAATCCAACAAACCCACACGTCTCTCAACAGAGCCAGATAATGTCTCAACTTCTTGTCCTCCAACCTCTGAATGTTTTGCGCTGTTTGAAACCATTTGATGTATGCCGTGACTTTCAGAATTTGAAACGGAGTGTCCGTGATAGCATCTTGTGGCTGCCATGATGCACTCCAGTCGCTCGGCATGATTGTGCCGTTGACCCAGTAGTTGGCCGCAAAGCAGCCGGAGCCTAACAGACTATCAGTGTCTTTGAGTGTTAGCCACGGCTTTCTGACCCATTCGAGCCATCTGATGTGCCCGCGGCAAACTGCGTCGATTCGTCGTTGGAGTGAAACGACATATGGTACTTGCTCCACAAATGGCAATCGTCTAAGTACACCAATGAGGAACTCGAATGCAAAGCTAGAATATGACCCTTAGCCCAGGCTTATTGTTACAGGGTGACATATAAGACTCACAAGCTGGCAGAAGTGCATATCCTGTGACCGGCCATGTCTCCGCACGTGAGGGCGAGTGGGACTTCGGGCTCAAAGTTTTCGCCTTTTGACGTGCCCAACACACCAAAGCTGCTCGTGTCGGGGTCTCCCGCCGGCGTTTTCGTTTCAAACATTCCTGTTTGGTGGACAAGAACCGGGACCGAGAGAGGAATCGTGCACGCAGAGAGGATGTGCTCCGTATGGCGCCATGTGAGATATTCGATGGAGTCCAGCGGAGAAAGCTTCTGAGGCGCTGTCATTGTTCCATCGGTAGCAGACCTTGTACTCGTGTCTTGAATCACGTTCTGCTTCTCTGAAGGCCCGGAGGCTGCCAATACCTCTGCTGTGCTCACACCCATTTCTGAATTCACAACAGCGGACGCGCCGTCATGTTCTGCCATGCTATCTTGCGCGCCGACCTTCGTAGTCCCAGCATTATGTGATGTCCGCCCTCGGCCACTTGCATCTCGCTTGACGTCTCGCTCTTTGAAATCTTTCTTGCAGATGCGTAGGTCACACAGTGATTGACTGCATTTGCAGTCATCTGTGCTAGAGTGGCCCCATAGCTGTTCTGTTTCCGCGGCAAGCATCGCGGCAACATCAGTCGCTTCAGCGGGAATGAGGAAGTTCTTCCAGTGCACCTCGCCTTTTGGTATGACGATCAGTTTGTAAGCAACCGTGATCTCAAGCACGCTTGAGCTACTTCCACAGGCCCCAATGGTTCTATGGATACGAGTAGGCTCCATTTCCATTTGTAATGCGTTCCCGTTCACAAACACACTCATGATAGAAACGACAGCGTGGGCATCCTGGGCAGACCACGTATCTGACATGCGCCTCTTCTGCCACACTTCATCATCGCTAGGAGAATGCTTCGCTTCACTTGGAGGACGTCCTGTGGATTGTTGCTCGACAGGTTTGGGATATTCGACACCGGTTTCATGCTGGTTGATGCTGGCATCTTTCACGACTGAGCTTTGACCCCCCTCAGATGGCAGGCCACGTTCCGGGTCATCGTGGCCTGAGGTTATGTGAGTTCTGACATATTCCTCGCCTAAGGACTTCGGTGAAGACGTCAGTTGCTTCTGATTAGAAGTTCCTTCTGTTGCTTCGGGTGACTGAAGCCCTTGTCCTTCATGGTCAAATTCGCTGGCACGTGGGTTGACTCTGGCGTTGTTCTCTTGGCCCGTACTTGATTTCTCACTGTCGAAGACATTAGCTGTGATCCAGCTGAATCCATTGGGTCCTCGACCTCGAATGTAACCCTTGCTGCTTCTTTCGTTGTAAGAGGGATCGTTGAGGTAATCGAGGTCTCTGATCAGTATATGCTGTTTCATTTGGGCTGAGAAATCCTCAATGGGTGAGCTCCCCGTGTTGGTGACAACGAGCTGCTGCAAAACAGTATTGTTCTTCACTAGCCACTGGAAAGACATGTTCGCACTCATGCTACTGTTAAGCTCTTTCCCTGTGTGCAATGATTAGCGAGCGAAGCCCTTCCCCTGGATGCTAAGTTGGCGAGAGTTCCTCGGCCTATCTTAAAGACCCTCAGCCATCCGGACTTTGTTTTGCAGCAATGTTTGTGATACATCCTAGCCATCGCCTTCTATCTAAGGCTCAGAGGGAAAGTTCGTTTGCTGGGACACTTACATTCGTATCTCGGCCATCTCCAATTCACCCATCTCATTTTCGGAATTCCATCTGGCAGAAACCTCCTTGGTAGGTACAGCCCGAAGGAGAGATCGTCGTTTCCTAGACCCAACCTGTTCAAATCATCGGCTCTACTAACGACAAGGTAGGGCTCGGCGGTATCTTGGTGATCGATTGAGAAGACCCCAGAGCTCCCTGTGCCAAGAAACTGACTCATCTGCATCAGGTCTCCACAGGGAGACACGGAAGCCGTCGTTCCTTGGTCTCCAATAGAGGCGTGGCATGCCTTATTTAGTGCATCTTTCCATATACCACAGTGTTGGTCTTTGGGCTCGAACAGTCGGCCTGCAGTCCCAGGACGCCCTTGAATAATTGTTAACCAGCCGTCGTGCCGAGTTGAATAAAGAATTTGTCAACTCACTTTGGATCAGCGACTGGAAGGAAGGTTCATTTTCTGACGGAACTCTTCCCACCCACAGGTCAAGATTTTCCCTGAGGGAGTCTTTGAAAGCCGGAGAAGCCTCGTCAGTTTTTGAGGTAGATGCGTGACTCGCGGCGCTACTTGAACGTCTGGAATCCATGAGCACACATGTCTGCTTCACAGAAACAAGCAACGGGAAAATGGGAACAATCTGCGTAAATGTTCTCCGAGAGCAGTGGAGGCACCGGCAGAGTCGAAGAATAGTAAAGCCTGGATCATAAAATCTGCGTATGAGACAGTCGCCTCGCAGATCACGTTTAGAAAGAAAACACAGTCAAGGTTGCCCTGGGGTTAGTCAAATGCCGAGGTGAAGATGGATGCTCCAGATTTTACCATGGAAAAATGTGGCTGGGGGTATTTGATGACTGCATCATGCTGACACGTCGTTCATTGGTCTCGAGTTCCGGTGATAACCCAGCATGAGCGACTGCACAGCTCATTGGTTGCCTCAAAATGCGACTGACCACGCTGTGCAACCCACGAATGCACCCGAAGTAGTTCGTACAGTAGTCGACGGGTGTGGTCCAACCGAAGGACTTGCCTTTAGACGGTGGACGGATAAATCGTTGTGACTTGCCTTGGTACTGATATCTCACAGTCTGGCCAGCTTTATCGTCATGCCTATCTAGACATCAACATCCGAGACGCGGAATTATCTGGGCCCGAACGTTTGCTTCGTTAGTTGTGGCGAGCTCGATCTTACAGTGAGTACCGACGCAAAGCGTCTCGAAGCCAACTGTGCTAGAAACCACATGGGTGGCCACCCTTGCAATAGCGAGGGCAGACTGCTGCCTATCGTGGGGGCGGCGCTTACAAGTGCAACCAGTACTACAGGCTGGCCAGCCAGTTCTCTATTCATCACAGCATGGTAACATCCATTAATAACTAATTACACAAGACGCGTGGCACTGTTCTTCAGTCCTTGTGCTGTCATTTCCTTCCCCAAATCCCCATCTTTCATCGTCGGAGACGCCTTGCATACGTTTTCCATAGGTACTAAATCCGCTTGTACCAAGTTCAGCCACGAATTATCACCGATCCGCGAGACCCGAGTCTTTGCCAGGAAAGCTGTCGTGACCAGGATGATGAGGCCAACATGCACAGAAAGCACTGCACAGACCGCCGCCAGGCCCCTGATGGACTGAGGAAATTGGATGTCCCTGAACGACGTGACTGAAGCATTAGCTTCAAAGTCGTAGTATGGCAGTGTCTCATAGTAAGCCAGACGGCCAAGGATGGTGTAGTATGCCTGCCAGGCCTTCGAGGTGTCCCTTGTGGTCTTAAGTACATCTTGGAAGATTTGTCGCTGAAGGTCGTTATTGGTGACGTAGCTAATGTTGGCGGCAGTATGGTTCGCAAAGTTCATATCGCATTCTGCGCACATCCAGGTTCCCCAGCTGTACACGTCTTTGCTCTCCATGGCCAGGGAGAGCGCCGAGTTGACTTCGCAATTTCGTTGTGTCTAATTGTCCGGTAGAGGAATTCCATGGCCCCAACGAAGGCTCATCGCAGGGCTGCTGGCTCGTGGAATTGACTTGAGCGTTGATCGAGGCGAACGAGTCAAAGCAGAGGGACACGGAGAGACGGAAGCCTGGGACGCTGGGGATTGTGAAAACAAGCCATTCGTCTTGGGGGTTGATTAACAGCTTATTTTGTTCTTGATTTGGACTGAAGAACATGTTGGCCTCATTTTCGGGCAAAGCAGCTGTGAAATTCAGCAACTCGTAGCTCCTCCCGGTCATCAATCGGACATTGTCCCCTTGTTGATAGTAGGACAAGTTCCAGGCAAGAAAATTCGGGTTCTCCATGGTAAAGTTCATAGAAAGTGCATTTGCAGCTATGTTGGGATAACGTGGGTCAAGGGATGAGACGAGCGCTGGGCCAAAATACATGAGATTCTGAGCAATGGCCCAGTTGCTACCTGCTCCATGAGCGAAAGGTATCTGTTGGCTCCAACTGAGGTTCACTGAAGAGTTGTTGTACTGATCCGTTTCGAGGTTGTACGTAACTGGTAGGACGCCGGAAGTCATGGCTGGCTCTTCTGCAAGTATAAGGCCGGGAGGCACGGATTCTGGTACCAGAGAGCCGTTCAAGAGATAACCGAAGTTTTCCGACTCGTAGCCGATGCTGAAGTATTGATGAAGCTTGGGCCTGATGCAAACGACCCTGGAGTCCTCCATGGTAGCCATGCCGACATAAGAGTGTATCATCGTTCGTTCAGACTGGTTCGAGAATGGCATGAACGCCCTCAGAGTAGACCCTGTATCTCTGACCGAATCGGTTGATAATATCTCACTCGCTGAGGGGTTCTCACGATGCTCGGCAAAGACTGAGAATTCCGGAAGAAACTCCTCCCAGAATGATGTCTGCCCGACGAGTCTGGTTGCATTGAGCTGACCGATTCCTGCTGACCAGGACAGTGCCGCAAAGGTTGTCTCGGTCTTAGCATGGTCTATAAGTGCCCCAATGGCGAGAGCTCCCACAAGTACAGTGGATGCAAATTGTAGAGCAAACGTTGTGAGGCAGAGCAGCAATGCGACTGCGGCCCAGAGTCCCGAACGGGAGTAAGTGTCTCGCAGGGCGATAGTCAGGCTCTGCGGCGCATTGTTGACGTAACGCAGCGCGTTTACCGCGGCCGAACGATGTAAAGCGACGCCTTTAGTTTCCATTATGACAGAAGCTAGCATCGAAGTGGCGATGCTACGACCATCAGAACAAGATTCACGGGCTATAACATAGGGCCAGGACTTACCCTGCTTGGGCACTAACAGCAACGCGTAAAACCATGGAGCTTATCGTGACAGACTTCGAAATCCAGCCATTCAGCACTATCTTGAGCCACGTTCCGTTATTTTGGGTACCATCTAGGTTCGACCAGAGAAAGCCGATGAAGGCGACGCAGCATGGCACGGTCACGTTTGCCAGAACGAATGTCGATGTGGCCAATATTGAAAACTTGTGTAACTTCGGAAATTCGATCATCTCTGGGTCTTGAGGTGCCATCGTTGGGGCTTCAATGGGCTTTCCGCTCTCATTGTAAGCGGCCGCGGAGGCACTACGAGATCTTTTGGGTGGTTTCGGCATTCCATCTTCGACGGCTTCCGGTGGTGGAGGTTGCTCCTCAAGAGAATGCTCGGTCTCATAGATCGTGCAGCCACTAAGGGTTTCCTCAGAGCGTTGAGGTTTCGACTGTAGGCAGGCAACTTCTTCGCATTTTGAGGCCATGGCAGTCTTAAAAGAATAAACTTGATAATTCAAAATTGTATTGTTGTTTAGATTACTCCCCTCAGAGTTCGTCCGCCCATGGGCAGACATTGCATGAGTGCACATGGTTGGATTGTGCCATCTCTTTGGCATTCCGCTGCTGTCTTATATAATTAGCCTAGCTCCCACCATTGACATCCATCTTAAAGACAGGGTATGATCTAACATGTGCATTTGAGCTTTGGCGCAAAATCCGATCCAGCACTTCACCCAATTGCAAATACAACCCTCGCAGCATCAACATAGAACCAAGTACCCAATGTTATGATAGCGAATAGTAACTAAATTTAATTCCCCGTTCTTTTGCCGCCTATGAAAAGAGCTACATGCTGTTTTGACAACACGAGGCCTCGGGGCAGTATGCATTTTTGTGCATCACCGATTCAGCTGGCTGCCCCTGACACCCTCTTGAGGCTGTCCTGCTGACTGCATTGGGCCCTGGCCCCCACGCATTGCCCTAGGCCTGATCTGTTGATTGTGTGGATGAACATGTCTGATATCTAGCTACCTTCTCCAGCCAATGACTGTTGCAGGGGCAATAGAACTTGATAGCTTCCTAGCTGCAAGTATCCATTAGTCGATACCCCGCCGTCACCAACAGCGGATCCGCCACACCATCTGCCTTACATACTAATGTCTATTCGGCAAGAGCAAAGCTGAGGCTGTTTATTCAGCGCCTCCAAGGTGTTTAGAGGGTGCGTGAGGGTTGGTCAGCATGGTACAAATAGTTGATGAATCATCTCAGATTGGTCAATACTGCCCGCACAAGTGAGAATTCGTCTGTTTGTGGGTGGATTTTGATTGGCCTTCACCTAATCCCATATGTTGTTTGCTGGCTGGCAAAATCACGAATAGAAGCCTGAGAACGGTCTCAGAACCAAGCAATCAAGTTATCTTACTAATGGCGTTCTTTTCACTCCCCGGAAAGCCATTCTTGGATCAATGCCATTTTGTTAAAATTGTATCACATGATATGTTCAAATATTTCGAAATTCTAAGTGTTGGATCAATAGTTGGATTGACGGTAATCAATGCCAACCCAGTACTGTATGTTTTGGATTACTGTTGTGGTGTCGCCTATCAGCATAATTTTTTTCCCGGGCTTCGCACAGTCCCGTAACACATGCTCGTCCGAGAAAGCTTTCTTCCCCGAATATTTGAGCTAGATGGAATTTGTTTCAATATGACCGCCTGCAGCAGACACACAGAGCAGCTCGGATTAGTGCGGGATCGATGTTGGGACAACGTGGCCTGAACAGATACATTTCAGGCTAGCTAGGTATATCTCAATAAGGTGTTTATGCCCCGGTATCATTGTCTCTTTTCAGAAGGCGAGCTGCTTCGCCTTCCCCTCCGGCGAGCAGCTCACAAACCGCCACCGACGCGGGTTCCACATCGGGACGGCCTTGAGCATGATCCACTTGACAAGACCCTTCAGAGGCGGGAACACCTCATGCCACATGCCGCCCTCGAAATCGACCGTGTCCATGTTCAGGAAGAAGACTGGCAGGACGTTGAACACGAACCCGAGGCTGAGCTGCTTCTTGCCGGCCGCGTCCGCGATGCCCAGGATGTCGATCGGGTTCTCGGGAGTGCTGTACTTGGACAGCGCCACGATGGAGGGTGGCTCCGACTTGAGGTGGGAATGGAGGGCGTCCTTGAACGAGTCCATGATGGTAATGAGCTCGGCGGCTGAGAAGTTGGCGCCTTCCTTCTGGAGGTAGGCCTTGAAGCGGTCCATGCCTCCATGGAAAGCAGCTGTAGATGAAAGATCAGTCTTTGTACTTCTTGCTTCTCCATGGGAGCGGTCACAACATACCATGCTCGTCGTATGCAGTACTCATGAGCCCTGTCTTGCCAGCAGCCTTGTCGAGGTTAGGGAAGAACTCGGTCTCCTCATAGTGGTGGTGCTGGTGGACGCAGTCGTGCCAGGCTATGCAGTAGCCTGCGAAGTCCAGCTTGTCTGCATCTGGCACGCGTGGGGCTTGCTGATAGATGCTGTTAAAGCCGCGAATAAAGGCATTGTGGCTTAGGGCCATATGAGAGGCCTCGACTGTAAAAGGGTCCGTCTGAAGGACTTCATCAGAGCAATGTCTCACAGACACATCGGAAAGATCCTACCTCGCCTGTCTGGAACTGTGGAGTGGATATGACCGCCAGTGGCGAGTCTGTGTACGTAGGAGGAGAGGTGGTCGCCATCGCGGTAAGTGGAGATTGGTCTCAGTGCTTGCTAGGCAGGTAGCAAAAAGGGGTGTAGCTTCAGTATCGTGGAGGGGGAAGAGTAATACAGTAGCTACCATTCGCTAGACGATGGATTGGAATTTTGTGCCGTCTCATTCATCGCCAACGCACTGAGCCCGCGCCGCCTGCCTGCATTAGTGACCAGGCGCGTTGGTTCTTAGTGCCAAGGCGTGGACCCAGATGCGGATATGACGTGCCACACTAATGGGCTCGTATGTTGGGAGTGTAATGCGGCAGGAAAGACTGCGTATGGCAAACATGCAACTGTTTGTATTAGAAGCGGGAGTATGGCTAAGTTCTGAATGCAGAAGGGGCCCCAGAGGTCTGGCACTGGGGGGCACCCTTTTCAAGAGACGTACGCAGGGTACGTGCTCCCCTACCCACTGTCCACCCCCAGTCACTGTACACCCTCATTCACTGCCACATGTAATATCAGTACTGAACCGCAGTGATGCTTTGCTAAATACTTGGCGTGGGCTGGATGGTTCTGAATATTGTAAAATGAATTTCACGCCAGAGAAAGGATCCGCAAAGGTTTGTTCGATCTTTCCCACAGAACTTGGCCCTGATTGTAGGGTCGAAGAAACACCGTTATTCAAAAAAGGCCTTGATCCATATCTGCGTTTTAGGTTTCCTAAACTTACATGCTCAGATCTAGATTTATTCTCTGTTAGTTTGTACGTAGTGTTTGCTTTCTGATCAGGGCAGAAAATGTCCCCTGCCTCTAAACGTCAGGATTCAGTGCTCTATTATTTAGTATCAATTTCAGACGGATCAGCAAAATACCGGACGTTTCAATTTTAAGTCACATTAAAACTACACGAATTTAGAGTGTGGCTTCGGGAGAGGAAATTGATAGCAAATGACATGCAGAAGTAAGACAGAAAGTCATTGGGAATTCTGTCGCATCACTGCACTGATTGTGTGCAAACAACACTGGCAGTCTTCTGGCCCTACGTCTGTCAAGTTCGACGTGGTTACTTGTCAGAATTTGGAGGGAAATTGGGAAGTCCATGGGCTTTTGTCCTTGCCCTGTAAGGTTTGAAGGCTTTTTACGAGACTGTAAGCATTTTCACGATTGTGTTTGACAAGTATGTGGGAAGCCTCAGGCTGGCTTCAGACTGTGGCCCTAAGTACATCAGCAAGGCAGTTGGCAACGCCTCTTGAACCCGGGCCTGTGTGTTACCAGATCTATCAAGCCGTGATCTAAAAAGGAAATCGAAGCCGAAGTGATTTATTCAAAACTGAATTCGCACGTAATATTTGACGCTGGGCTGAGACTTGTGGCTCCGGTGATGGTGCTGTCGCACGCATCCCGAATGTCTTGGTCATTGCGCATATTTTAAGTGATAGGATTTGCCATGCAGTCTCGTTGACCACTTCAACATCGTCGGTCGTGCTCTTCTGGGTCCCACATGGTGGTTTACATTAACTAGATTCGTCAGCTCCCTGCTGTTCGTCCCGGCTGTGAGCAACCTGACCTGAATTTCCAGAAATCTGGGGCTGGCCGAGGTCATCTTTAAATCGTGCGGCCATTCGTTTTGCCTGAGACGTCAAATCTCCCGCGGTGGTGTCAACGGCCGTGTAAGCTTGAATTCAGTGTGGCGGCCGCCGTTCACACACATGTTCTGCCATTTGCCTCGTCTGCGGGCCTTGGCTTGGCACTGGCGAGCGCCAAAAGCCCTTTTCGTGCCGTGGTGAGAAGACGCCAAAAAGCCTTCTGAGCAAAGACCTTGCCACTCCAAGGAGGAATTTGAATTGAGCTATGATGCAGGCCTTCTCACGGCCCATATTTCGTCCTTCCGGGTTGGGGAGCTGAGGCAGGATCTTGACCAGTGGCGGCCTCGTCTTTGGCCCGGCTCCAACCACAGGCGTCATGCCACAGCATCTCGGTGCATTATGAAGACTTGCAACTCGTACAATCTTGCGCATAAAAGCCTACTTACTTGCTCTATATGTTAGCTTCAGACACGCGGCATTACCCACGCATTTTGGACAGATGGGTCCAAGGCTATGCAGCCTCGTCTCGGGGGTCTTCAGTGTTGGGTGTTCCATGCGCTCGGAGCTTGATGAACGAGAACTGCGCCGCCCTCGTGTCTCGAGCGGGATCCAGAGTTCGCGGGACAGGGAAACTTCAGGATATCCTTCACCATCACACACGAGGTCTGGTCCCTAAGCTGTGATGAGCAAAATTCGTCAAAATAGAGAGAAATCCCTTCACCATCTCATGACGGATGACGAGTGGCCTTACTGCGCAGATCGGCCGTGTTCTAGCCGGCAGTCGGATGCTCTGCCAACGGGATTCCGTCGGGAATTTAACGGTCGAGAAGATGATCCCTGCCGCTCGACTAGTTTTTCCATCAATCAAACCGTCGGTTGAGGCCCCATTGACCTGGAGAGGACCCCACAAAATGTGCCCCTCGGTCGACCCCTCCCCCGCCATTTGACGACGATGCCCTCCAGGTGCCCAGGGGGTACGTGAAAGCAGGCTACTACGGGCCAGCCGTAGTGGTGCCGACATCAGGAGAATAATTCGCGGCCGGACGACAAAAGCCCGGTCCTGTTTAGCTCGTCCTGCCCTGAATAGCCATCACACGATTCTTCCCAAGCGGACAGACTCGTGCTGTTAAATAGCTTCTTCCTCTCCCTCACAAAGAAGTCTCTGGTGTCCTCCCTCGCTTCTTTCCTGTCCATCTCCTTCTCTCCTCTCCCCTCTCCCATCCTCACTTCAGCCCAGTAATAAAAACATCACTGCCGTCAACATGGCGTCCACAGAAATCACCATCACCGGCTGGACGACGCGGGACGTCCGCTTCCCCACGTCCCTCGACAAGACCGGCAGTGACGCCATGAACGCCGCCGGCGACTACTCGTCTGCCTACTGCATCCTGACCACGTCGGACCCCAAGTTCACGGGCCACGGCATGACCTTCACCATCGGGCGCGGAAACGACATCGTCTGCGCGGCCATCAACCACGTGGCGGACCGCATCAAGGGCAAGAAGCTCAGCGAGCTCGTGGCCGACTGGGGCAAGACGTGGCGGCACCTGGTCAACGACTCGCAGCTGCGGTGGATCGGCCCGGAGAAGGGCGTCATCCACCTCGCGCTGGGCGCCGTCGTCAACGCCATCTGGGACCTGTGGGCCAAGGTGCTGGGCAAGCCCGTGTGGCGCATCGTGGCCGAGATGTCGCCCGAGGAGTTCGTGCGGTGCATCGACTTCCGCTACATCACCGACGCCATCACGCCCGAGGAGGCGGTGGCGCTGCTCAAGGAGTCGGAGGTGGGCAAGGCGGAGCGCATCAGGGAGGCCGAGAACTCGCGCGCGGTGCCCGCGTACACGACGTCGGCCGGGTGGCTGGGCTACGGCGAGGACAAGATGAAGGCGCTGCTCAAGGAGACGCTGTCCAAGGGATACCGGCACTTCAAGCTCAAGGTGGGCGGCAGCATCGAGCAGGACCGGCAGAGGCTGTCGATCGCGCGGGAGATCATCGGCTACGACAAGGGCAACGTGCTCATGGTGGACGCGAACCAGGTGTGGTCGGTGCCCGAGGCCATCAGCTACATGAAGGAGCTCAAGGAGTTCAAGCCGTGGTTCATCGAGGAGCCGACCTCGCCCGACGACATCCTGGGCCACAAGGCGGTGCGCGACGCGCTCAAGCCCTACGGCATCGGCGTGGCGACGGGCGAGATGTGCCAGAACCGCGTCATCTTCAAGCAGCTCATCGTCAGCGGCGCCATCGACGTCTGCCAGATCGACGCCTGCCGCATGGGCGGCGTCAACGAGGTGTTGGCGGTGCTGCTCATCGCAAAGAAGTACGGCGTGCCCATCGTGCCCCACTCGGGCGGCGTCGGCCTGCCAGAGTACACGCAGCACCTGAGCACCATCGACTACGTCGTCGTTACGGGGAAGCTCTCCGTTCTCGAGTACGTCGACCACCTGCACGAGCACTTCCTGCACCCCTCCGTCATCAAGGACGGCTACTACCAGACGCCCCTCGACCCGGGCTACAGCGTCGAGATGAAGCCCGCCAGCATGGACAAGTTCACCTTCCCCGGCGAGCCCGGCGTCAGCTGGTGGCAGAGCGAGGAGGCCAAGCCCATCCTCGAGGGAGTCAAGATCTAAGTTATGTCTTCGCCTCCGACACCAAGGGAGATGTGGAAGTAAGGGCCAGGCCGAGGAGGTCTGAGATGGTGGACTTATGGGCAGGGCAGAAGTTACGATGGCGTCAATTCACGGCGACGAGTCAGCGATCCTCGTCTTTGTGCCGGACGGTTTACTATAAATGGCCCGGTCAAGACTTGGGTGGGTTTGCAAAAACGGGCATTCGATCACAGTTAATCGTTTGGCAGGGCAACGATGGCATCCTGTATTTCCCGCTGCTTAGTTCTCCTAAGCAGTCGTGGTTATCCCTCTCAAGGCAAGGTGGGCCTTGTGTGCTTGGAATTTGTCCGGGACCGAGGGGCGACAGCATTCTGCACGATGGGAGACTATCACCTCCGTGGCTCCGTGGCAAATATTCAAGTCGCGTGTTGTTGGTATTTAGAGAAGAATGATTAAGTCACTATCAAACCTCTGCGGCCGGTATGCTTCTGATCATCGGACCGAGAACAACGTCCCCTACCCATCGGCCCGTCACGATGTAGGCTACGACGAAGTTCCCAAGCTGCATTACTCGTGGCCATGAACGTTACGGTGCTCTTGTGACGACGGTAAATGCCATTGAGTTTTCTTCCCTGTGATCTATAAGATCTGAAGTGCAGGAGGGACGCCACTACGTTCCAGGCCTGCCGTTCCTCCACATATTTGATCAAGACATGTGGCTGACACTCTTCCAATGTTATGAATGCATGGTTGATGGAAGGGAAATTCGCCATAGCCCCACACATGCCAACCACGAGATGGCTCTTTTCAAACCCGCCCGATCCACGTGTGCTGTTGATGATTTGGACGGTAGTGGCAGCGGCATGAGGCATGAGGCTTGTGAGCGGCTTAGAGATTGCGAAGGGATGAAGGAAGGCGTTACTGGAAAGCCATAGATATCTCAGGATCATGAAGTTCCCATGGGGCATCAAGAGTCTCGGGGCGGCAGAGGCTGGTCGTGCTCGAGACGTTGAGCGCCACCGAGATGGTGCCTGCGATGCCTACCTGTTTCTTGACCGCGAATATGGCTGACCTGGTGATATTCACTGCATGTATCTCCGGATCCAGATTGGAGATTTTTGTCAGCCACGGCTGACCGCTGGAGGCAGTATTCGAGCAAAGTGCTGTTATTGCCTTCAAGCCCAACAACACGATATGCTGGACGGGGACTGAGGTCCGGAGGGAGAAGAGGCCAGAGGCACCACCCATTCACCAACCTGGAATTGCTGTTTCTCGGGAAGGGCGGCCAAGGGCGTGCAAGCCACTGTATAACGTCTTTTCGCAATTGCTGATATCAAAGACCGTTGACGCAGTCGTTGGCAGAATGGGCGTCGCATGTCTTGCAGAGGGGCAGCCACATCTCATCATTGCCTGCCAGGGGGAAACAAGGCAGATAGGCAAAATGAGATTGGAGGCTGTCGTTTGCAGGCAGATATTTTGAATAATCTCTGGGGAAGTCTCAAAGGCATTTCCGCCACCGCGGGCCGTGATGCATCCCTTGCTTCTGTGGCGACGTGCACGCCTGCATTCGCAATCCCCATGCCTTTGGAGTGATGCTGGATTCACGGAGGAGTGCCATGCGACTCGCCAGCATGCTTATTTTGTCTCGTTGTAATACAATACAGCGCACTGGCATGCTGTGCACCGAGACATGAGTGCGGAAGAGAGGAATTTGTTGGGTTGACATGGATATCTAGGAATGAATTGGGCAGCAGCATGGGAGGCCAATCTCTTCGGGGCAGCCAGGGAGGGCTGTTCCGCCCAAGGCAGCGCCCTAGAGTCTTCAGGTCCCCTAGGTCCCTTAGGAGCTCTAGGTAGGGCTGGAGTGTGCCCAGAGAGGGTGTCTTGTCTCTCCCCGTCCCCTAGTTTCCGCATCTGGCCACTACCACTGGCCCACCAGCGTGAGGAAGGAGCGAGTGAGGCAGGTGAGGTACCCAGGTACTGACTGAGCATGCCTGGGCGTATCTTCTCCCCATTCCCCCAAAATTCCCATCTCCCCCCCAGCCACGGCCCCCAGCCCGTTCTTCATTTCTCGATCATGGAGATAACAATGAGGGCGCATCAGGAATCAAGAACATGGAGCATCTGGAAACTCAGGTCAGCGACCTTCGATCCTTCCTTCCAGGAGCTCTTCCCTCAGCCGCATCGACACCCACCTCCAATGCAGCACACATGGCTGGAGTCGGAGTCGTAGCAGGCGTAGGCCCAGGCGCTGCGACCGCCGCCACCGCTCCACGTCATCCCAGCCAGAGCGCTGGGTCGTCTGTTTCCGCCGTCGGAAGCAATTCCGCACACCCTTCACCTCTCGCCTTTGGACCAAACCACAACGCCCAGCCTGCAAGAAACCACGGTTCTGCTGTCTCGACCCCTGGCCCAGTGTCAGCGCATCGTGCTGCTACCAATGGTGGTGGAGGAGCTGCTGCTGGTGGCGCCGCCGCCGCTGCCGGGGCCAAGCGGAAGCTCAACGACACGGCCAGCGGCGACGACTCTTCGCAGAGACAGCAGAGGAGCAAGAGGAACAGGGTGAGCACCTCACAGATCCTGGAGGGCATATGGCTTGCTAACCGTTGCTTCTGTGCCCGTTTATAGTACATCTCCATTGCTTGGTATGTCTCGACTCTGGAAGCCCGACCTCCGAAGCTCCCGTCCGTCCAGCCCCGCCCGACGAACAAGGGGACGAGCCTGTGGGCGATAGCCTGCGCTTCCGACCCCCTTCGGAGTCTGGGTGCTGTGGCGGAGGGGATATAGAAGACTACACCAAGCTGACATCTACTTTTCAACCGCAGCAACGAGTGCAAGAGGCGCAAGATCAAGTGCAATGGCGAGACTCCGTGTCAACGCTGTGGCAACCTCAACCTCCCCTGCCAGTATGCCCCAAACTGCTGCTCCAACAATTTCAAGGACTCGGAAGAGTTCAGGGACATGAGGGACAATGTCGCCCGCCTCCAGGAACAGGTCGACACCCTGTTTCAGTCCTTGAACGCCCTCAAGCAGGAGACACTGCACCTCGCCCCTATCCAAGACCGAGCCCTGCCCTTCCCGAACAGCGCCGCCGTTACTCCATCCCCGTCCACAGCCACCATGTCCTCTGTTCATAGACAGGACCTGGCGCCGTCCCGGGCCCCGCCCTTTTTCCGCGGCCCAACGAGCGCCTCTTTCACCGTCGACGTTGCCAAAAACACGCTGCACGACATGAAAGACAGGGTGCCAATGCTGAATTATGCTGGTGCCGACAGGATTGAGGACAACGGGGTCATGATCGAAGACTCGCCTGCCCCATCGCCTTATCAGCACTGGCCCGCAGCCGCTGAAATACCCAGGGCACGCCCGCCAGACCCCCTCTGGGGCTTTGACCGGGATGAGATGATACGCCTGTGCAGGCTTCACGAGGAGGAAGTCGGCATTATGTACCCTGTCGTCAATATCAACAATGTAGTCAGCCATGCCAACTTCCTCGCCGATTTCATGGAGGCCAGCAGCAAGCACGGGCTCGTTCCACAGGGCATTGGCCAGGACGCAGGCATCACTGACATCAAAACGCTCGAATTGAAAATCATCATGTGCTGCGCCATGGTCGTCGAAGGTCACGGCTATAGCGCGAGGGGCCTTCAGCTGTGGGAAAGCATGCAACCTACGGTGGACAGGATGCTCATGAGCGATGAAAGTAAAATAACGAACCTGCCCTTTTTGGCCCTCGTCGGTGGTTACAGATTCTTGTCCAACGACGAGTCCTTGGCCTGGAGGGTGATGGGTCAGGTCACTCGCTTGTGCTTTGAGCTGGGTATTCACCGGAGGGACGTCATCCAGGCAATGGAACACGAACAAGACCGCAAGAACGCCATCAACACATTCTGGTCTGCATACGTACTGGATCGTCGGTGGAGTTTTGGCACAGGACTTCCCTTCGTTGTCCACGACGACAAGATAGACCCGAAGCTTCCGTACCCTGTGAGTACTTTACTGCTGTCCTATAACACCGCCTTTCCCCTTCTAACATCCCGGCGCCTATGTCACTGCCGAAATGATGCTCATTGCCCTTGTAGGATGAGTTCCCGTATCTCAGATCCATGATCACCTTCTCCAGGCTGGGCGCCAAAGTTTGGAAGCTCGTTGACTGCTTCGACCCTGTCCTCATCCGCGAGATGCAGCGCAGTGATTTCGAGGGGCTGGACCGGGACATACTAGACTGGTATGACTCGGTCCCAGACGAGATCAAGATTGACGGACTCGAGACTCAAATACCCATACCGGGGACCTCAACCTACGACATCGACCGTCTCCAGATTTGGACACGATTGAGGCTGAATCAGGTAGGTTTTGCTTCGAGTTGGAAGCTGTCGCAGGCTAAATTGTATGACAGATTCGCATCTGGCTGTACACTCCTGTCCTCCACTCGCAGGAGAGCATAGAAAAAAACGCTGATCTTGCCCAACGCGTGGTTGATCTTGCGAAAGAGACGATACAATATCTTAGCCTTCTCAATACGCATACCGACGTGTACCGCCGTATCCAGGTATTCTACCACCACTTCCTGACTTCGGCTATCGCCTGCCTTTTCCTTGCATCTACCCACCGTCCCAACGACTTCAGCGCTCAATGCCGAGAAGAGTTTAACATGTCCATGGTGCTCATCGAGGATATGTCGGCCAAAAGCCATGTTAGTCAGCGGTTGTGGAAGACGGTTAAGGAGCTGAAGGCGTACGCGCCTACGCTAGGCCTCGCCGACAAGAATGACGATCCACGACTGCGGGAGAATGCAGCATTGACGATGGCCGGGATGGCGCGAATGTCGCGAATGTCGCGTGGTGGCCAGCCTCCACTAGACGTGTTGTCCATCCCTGACCGTCACGGCTCCATTAGCAGCGCCAGTGCCGGGCACCAAGCGACACCGAGCCCCAGGATGATACAAGGGCTTAGCGGACTCAATCATCCCCCCAGCCGGATGGACAGTCTCACGCCACATGCCGGAAGGGTTTCACCGCATACTGGCGGACCTGGTGGCGCGCAGGGCCACGGCCCGCCGTCCCCAAGTGGCGAGGACATGAAGAACGGCCTGCGCTTGCGGACCGAGATGTCGAGGATGTACGAGGCACTATCGAGCTTAGGACACGGTGCTCAGCTCCATAGCGGCGACGAATTCTTCACCGGCAGCCCCAACGAGTACTCTGCTGGGGGGCAGTTTATGCACAATCCTGATGACGGGGTCTATCCGCGCATGAAGAAGATGTTTTAGGGGAGCATATACACGACCCTCCTCCACTCTGGTATAGGTCGAATTAAAAAGCAATATATCATTAAGTAACTGCAACTTTTGAAGCATCTTTAGTTGAATTGCAAGTCACAGACAAATCTCTGCCTCAAAATTTCCGATGAATATTCACTTCGCTGTGCCGTGATTTGAGATCTAACTGTAGCATTGCCTGGATGCTATTGAAAGCTCTGTTAATGTTGGCTGGGTCACGTATTGCAATACAACATTTGGTTGGTGTAGTGGTTAATTATTGTTAACTATAGAAGAGAAGAAGGTAGAAGGCTTAATTATGCTAGCTATTTTATATGCAGCGCTAAGGCTATTGCCTGCTAGGTATCTTAACGGGCTAAAGCTGCCTAGTCCTAAATAATCCTTTATATAAATAATACTTATTATTCCTATATTAGCAATCTTTATTTTATAAATATATATTACTTTTAAAAAATATAAAAAAAAGAAAGATATTAAGTTAAATTAAACTTAAAGTTAAGAGATAATTAATTAATTATATATATAAGTAAATTATAAATATGCTATTATTTTATTACGTTATATTATTATAAAAGATAAGTATATAAAAAGGCTTAAGTTATTATTAAGGGGTTAAAGGTTAATTAATTTATTAAAGTATGCAATTAATAAAAAGAGGTTAATTAAATATATATATATATATTAAAATATTTTAATTATATAAAATTAAAAAGCTTAAAAGGTTATAATTATTATATAAATATTTTATTTATAATGCATTTTATAAACTTATGCTTTTATTACTTATAATGCTTAAGTTAAATAAGGATTAAACTAAACCCTTAAACTATTAATATAATTATTTAATCTTTAAATAATTAAAATTTCCTAATTTAATTTAGCTTAAGCTTTATTATACTTAATGCTGCTTATTAAATAAAGAAATTAAGGAATATAATTAAAAGATAGGTTATTAAAATAAGGGTTAAGTAAATAAAGTTAATAAGTTATAAAAATTAATAAATAAAGTATTTAAATAAAAGGAAAATAAGATATAAAATAAAGATTATTAATTAAGTTAATAAATAGCAATACTTTTAATTTTAATATATAAATATTAAATCGTGAAATTTAATTAAGGATATTTATTAAATATAAGTTAGTAATTTAAGTATTTATAAAATAATAATAACCCTTATTATTTAAACTCTTAATATATAAGCATTATTATAAAAATCTTAAATATAAAGTTTATCCTTAAAAGGAATATAATTTAAAGTTAGCTAATTACATTACATTATAAGGTAATTTATAAGTAATTAATAAATATAAATTAAACTTTTATACTTTTATTATATATTGCTTTTAATTAAAAAAGTTATCTTATTATCCTTTATTAAAAATCTTTAGCAATCTTTTTATCTTTATAATTATATAATATATATACTTAAATTAATTGCATTAATATTAATATAATAACTTTATAATATATAATATAATAATAATATTTAAAATTATATTAATATAATTTATTAATAAATTATTAAACTATGATTTAGTAATTTAAGTTTAAGCCTTAATATATTATAATTTTCCTAACTTTTTACTATATTTAAATAATTACCTTATCTTTTTAATTGCAATTTATATAGCTTTATACCTTAATTATAATATTATTTATATTTATAAAGTATTAAAAAGTGCTATTAAAAGTACTTTTTATAAAGGCATTAATTAAGTTATAATTTTTAATAATTTAATAAATCTTAAAAATCTTATGCTTCTTATATAATTATTAAAAAGCTATAATGTTAATTATAAGGCACTTTTTTTTATTATATTAAGCTTAATTAAATACTTATATAAGGAGTATAAATTAATGCATATTATAAGAAGAATTATTATAATACTTAAATATATAATAATTTAATGCAAAGTAACTGCTAATATTATAGCTATATTAAAGTTATTAATTATATTATAAATTTTTAAAGCTAAAATACTTTAAGTTACTTTTTAATATTTAATTAAGAATTAATAAATAAATTTACCTTTAATATTTTACTTAAAAGCTTATTAAGTTTATATCTTATTTATAAGTATAATAATAAAGCTAATTTATAAGCTAAGGTTCTTATTATTAGCAAATAAGTTATTAATAAAAACTATTAATTTAACTTAAAATAAATTTAAGGGTATATATTAAAGTTTATATTTTAAGTTATTAGCTTGCCATTATAACTAATGATTTAACCTATTATAGTTCTTATAAAAAGGCTTTTAAATTTAAGCTATTATTAATAAGTTAAACATTGCCTTAAGTTAATAAATAAAAGCAAGGTATGCTCTTTATATATATTGCTTTATATATTATTAAGTATAATTATTAACCTTGCTATTAATAAGCATAATCTTTTTATCTTAGCCCTTTTAATAAAAATATAAAATATCTTTATTAAAAATACTTATAATTATGCTATTAAAAATAAGTAACTTATTAAAAATAAGTATTTCTTTTAGCTTATATTAAATATTTACCTTTTTAATTTTTTATTCTTTTAGCTTTAAAAATATTAAAATATTAAGGAATAAAGTATTATTAATTTATATAATAATAATAGCAAAAATATTCTTTTTTTAATTTATAATTAAGAAGCATAAATTATATATTAAGATAATTATATTTAAATTATTATAATAAAACTTATAATAAGTTGCTTATTAATATATATTAAATTTAATAATATTATAAAGTAATTTAATAACTTATATAATGATTTTAAGAAAGTATTTATCTTAAATCTTAAGGAATAAATAATATAAAATAAATTGCTTAAGCTTAAACTTTAATTAAGAATATATTTAAGTAACATTTTAAAGCTTTAATTAAAAGCCTTATATTAAAAGAAATAAAGTTAAAGTAATTAAAAGCCTTTAATTAGCTCTTTAAATAATTAAAAATTATATAAGAATATTATATTTATTTTTATTATTATATTTAATAATAATAAGTTATAATTTTTTATATAACTTCTTAATTTTACTTTTAATCTTATAAATAATGCATAACTTAAAAAGCTAAATATCTTTATATATTTTAGGATTAAAGCATTTAAAGTAAAAAATATTATTATTAATTAACTTTATAATCTCCTTATAATTAAATTCCTTAAATAGGTTACCTAGGGTATTAATTACGTTATTATATTAAAGCTTTAGAAAAAGATTATAATTTTTAATTTCTTGCTAAGTAAGATATATTTCTTTTAACTTATTTTTTAATTTCTTAAACTATTTATATTATTAAGATTATAATAGTTTTAATATTGCTAGAATTAAATTTGGTTTAAATTAAATAAGCTTATTAAAAGCATTATTTAAGTTAAAAACTAGTTAAATATTATCTTTATTATTCTTATCTTAATAATATAATTAAATTAATATTAATTAAAAGATTATTAAATTATTTAAAAGGTTTAATATAAGATTATATTTATTAATATTAAGCAATTTATATAATTTTTATTAATTATGCTTTTCTTGCTATATTTATATATTACTTTATAATAAAAAACTTAATACTTTTATAATATTTAGGTTATTATAAGTATTTAAAGCTATATTAACTTATTATTTAATATAAACTTTATATAGTTTTTTTATAGCTTTTTAAATAATTGCTGCTTTCTTAAGAGTTAAGGAAGTTAATGCAAAGTTTTTTATAAATCTTAAATATATAATAAAGATAAGAAGTATTAAAATAATATTATTAAGATTAATTATATTATTTATTGCCTTAATGGCTATTTATAAAATAGCTTTCTTAATATAAGTTCTTAAGAATTTAGCATAAAGGATATTAAAAGCTTATTAAAGCAAAGTATAATACTTCTTAACCTTGTTAATAAATTAATATGCCTTGATTAATACTTACTTATAAGTAATGCCTATAATTTATATAATGCTTTGGAATTTTATTAAGGTAAAGTTAATTTTAGCATTATAAATAATATAATTTAAAGATTTTAAATAAATATTTATTTAATATTATTAAATAGCCTTTTATATATTTTTTATAAAAAGAAAAATTAAAAAATATTTAGCTTAAAAAGAAGTTATTAAATTAATAACTTATAAAATAAATAAAGTAAGTAAATATATAATATTTATAATAATCTTATAATTAAAGTTAATATTATCTTAAAGGTTAAACTTAAAATATTATAATGCTATAAAATAAAGTTAATAATAATAATAAAACTTAAAAATTGCTTTTAAAATAAAAGAATTAATATTATTATAATTAATATTAATAAAAAAGCGTAAAAAATAGTTAATTAAAGAGTATTTAAACTTATAATAAAGTTATTAAAGCTTTGTTTTTATTAAGAATATTATTAATATATAATTACTTTTTATATTAAGGAAAATTTATAAGTATCCTTACTTTTAAGTAATTAAAAAGGTTTTCTTTAAGTATTTATCTTTTTATTAAATTACTTTATTAATAATATTTTAAAGAAAAAAAGAGTTTTTATTTATATTTTAAATATAAAAAAAAAGGGAATAAGCTTATTTATAATATAAAATGTTAATAATCTTGCTAAAGTATTAATTTATATTATATTAAGTAACTTAATAAATAAGCTTAAGTTAAATTATACTTATGTTTTACTAGCCTATATAATATTTAAATATATAAAAGATATTTAATATTATAAAGCTTAAAATTACTTATATTTAATTATTAAAAATATTATTATACCTGTATTTAATATAATGCCTTAATATTATTAATAAAAATATTAATTTTAAATAATAAATATTTTTATTAATAAATAATCTTTAAAATTAATATAAATATTAAAGCTATTTATATGTTATGGGCTGGCCCCAAAGGGGCTGCAGGCTGGCTAGCGCCTTTTCCCATAAGCTGCAAAGCAGCAACTAATTAACTATTTAAGCCAAAAGATATATAATAATTCAAGCTCTCTTGAATTACCTAGCCATAT